CCCCGAGGGCTCCCCCAGGGCCGGAGTGAAAGCGGCCAGTGCAGCCGGGCCAGCCCCCGCTCAGCCTCTCACGGCCATCCTGTCCAGGGCTGGGCGGGAGCCCCACCCGCAGGCCGGCCCCCTTCCCGACCCCAGCCCCCAGGGCCAGCAAGGAGTAGACCGAGCGGAGGCGGGAACGGCCCTGGGGGGCTCAGGGAGGCGGGTGGGGGAGCCGGTGTGAGCTGAGGGCGGCCCGGGGGCCCACTCTGCGGGGCCTGGCAGTGGGGAGCGAGGGCCCAGGGAGGGGGTCACCCGCAGAGGGTGCTCCTGGGCCCAGGGGTGGGGGAGCCGGTAGGGTGGGGTGGGGCAGGGGAGGCGCAGGCTCTGGCTGAGGGCTGCTGGGGGGCAGGAGTTGGGGGGCAGGCGGCCTGGACGTGGGGCGTCCGGACAGTCTCCAGCTGCTGGGAGCCCCCTCCCGCTCCCCAGGGGGGCAGCTGAGGGCCCCCTGCCTGTCTGGGAGCCCACCAGACAGTGGGAGTCAGGCCCGGCCTGCCCGCCGGGCCGTTCAGTCGTCTCGGCTGTCCCTGTGGGGAGTGGGCGCGGCCGCACTGGCTGAGCAGGCCCCACGGCTGGGAGTCAGGGCGATGAGGTCCTGGGGGCTGCTTTTGTCCCCTGCTGCTCCAGGAGGGGGTGGCGAGTCGGGGCAGAGGCCGGAGAACTGTTAATCAGAGGGGCCAGCTCCCAAGAGGGGGGGCCCCCAGCCCAGTGGCTGCCGTGTCCTGGGAAGGGGCTTGCAGGGGTGGCCAGACCCTAACGCCGTGGCCTCAGGCCCACAGCGACCCAGCCCCCGTCGAAGACGGGAGGGCTCCCCCCTCAGGGCTCGCCCCACCCCCCCGGCCCCGGGTCAAGCGCGGACGTGTCCTGCAGGGACACGCTGGCCCAGGGCAGAAGGGGCTCCGTCCCCACAGGCACCTCGGGACCCAGCAGCACATCAGAACAGGTAAGGGGCCTGTCGGCAGGGGGGCCTTTGCTGAGGTCACAGCGTTAGGAGGCCCCTAGGCGCACAGAGGCGGGGACGAAGGCCGACTGTCACAACCACCGCGGCAGGTGCAGGTGCGGAGTGGGGACTGGAGGCCAGGCCCGGCCGGGCCGGCGAGGCGGCCCCGAGGACCAAGGCCGCACCACAAGGCCCCGCCTCAGGAGCGAGCTGGGAGTCGGCGGGGGCTCCGCGGCCCGGTGACGGGGACAGGCCGCCGCGGAGCTGAGGGGGGCGGGCCAGGTGGACACGGCTCTCAGGGGCCGCAAGGCCGGACCAGGGGACCCCGGGCGAAAGCTGTGAGGCCTGCACCCAGGTTCCAGGCCCAGGGCCCGCTGAGCCCGCACCGCCAGCCCAGTCCGCGCCGAGACCCTGAACCGCGTGCTGGGGGGCGCCAAGCGCTGGGGACTGCCGGGCCGGGGTCACCGGAGTTCCCCGGGGGCCTGCGGTGTCCTTGTGGCTCCCTGGGGCGTGGGGGGCGGGGCGGGGCTGCTCCCAGGGGCCAGGGAACGGGCGCTCTGGCTGGCCGGACCCCCGACCAGAGTCGCTTCCCCAGGCCTGAACCGGCCGTGGAGCCGACTCCCTCGCCGTGGGCCTCACATCCTCGGCCGCCCTCATGGGCGAGTCCTGGGAGCCTCTGCACCTGCCCCCAACCGAGAGGAAGTCCACCCTGGGGCAGTCCGTGACCAGGGACAGGCCTGGGGGTGGGAGGTGGCGGTCCAGGCCCGTCTGTTTGCTCCACCAGTCGGGCCGCTACAGGCAGGCAGCGGGTCCCGAGTCGGGGGGGACGCAGCAGCCCCCAGGTCGCAGCCGGACGCGGTGCCCTAGGCACCCCCCGACAGGGCGCCCCTTCTCCAGCCCCACGGGGAAGGCAGGCCACCAACCTTGGACAGCACCGTCTGCTCAGTCCCTCCCAGGCGCGCGCCCCCGCCCGCCGTCCCCCTCACTGCGCTGATGCATGGGGGCAGCCGTGTCCTGGGCCCTGGGGGTCAGGGGGCAGCGTCCCTGGCCTCTCCTCACGTGAGCCAGTAGCACCCGCTCACCCAGTCATGACACGTGTCCCCAGACACCGGCCGGTGTCCCCTGGGTCACCTGTTGAGAGTGCTGTATCCCACGTCAGGAGGACGCGTCAGGCCAAGGGTCCGCTTTACAGAAAAGTGCACAGCGGCCGGGGGCACGCACACTTCCAGGCGCCTCCCTCCTGGCCTGGCACACAATGGCCAGCGCAAGACCGGGCGGAGGCACCACCCCGGGTCCAGGCGCTGCCGGCGGGTGGAAGCAGCCCGGGCGCTCGACCTCCAGGCTCCGCAGCGTGGGGGCCTGGCCCCCCGACAACATGGCACAGAGCCCCAGCCTGGGCCCCAATACCTGGGGAGCGGAGTGGAGCCCAGTGGTGAGCAGAAGTGCCCCTCGAGCAAGGGGGGTCTTCGGCCTGATGCTGACGAGGGAGGGGGGCTCGCGGATGCTGCAAGGGTCGCGTCCTCTGCCTCGACCTCAAGTGAAGGGGGCCCGCGGAGGGCGTCCGGCCTCGCCGCCCCGTAGCCCCTCCCAGGCGCATGCCGGGGGGCAGAGGGGGAGGCACTGCGCCTGGCTGAGACTCTGTCACCCAAGGTTGTCAGGTCCGGGCTCCGAGGTGGCGGTCGCCCGGCTGTGCCCCACCCCTGGTGCCTGCCTGCCTGTCCCTTCCGCGGCCGTGGTCCCGGGGGTGGGACACCCGTGTCCAGCCTCCGCGCGCCCTGCTCTGGGGCCTGGGTCTTCCGGAACCGGGGGTCACCCTGTAGCACCCTGCCTTCCCCCGGCCTGAGACCCCGGCCCGGACGCACGGTTCAGGCCGAGGGGCCGCCCGTGTGGTCCAGCAGCGCTGCCTGCTGGCCGCACCCATCCCTCTGGCCCAGGCCTGGCCGGTGCCGCGGTCCCCACTGTGCTCCCCACTGCCAGCCACCTCCCACCCCGGCCCGGGGTGGAGAGGAGGTCACAGGCCAGCGGGGGCCTCTGCCGGAGGGGAGTGTCCCCCCGTGTGGCCGCCCTCACAGGTCGGACGGGACCCCAGGCCCGAGCCCCGCCTGGCCAGGTCCTGCTGGGGCCAGGCCCGCCCCGACCCTCACCGGAGGCGGCTGCGGTCCTTCAGCGGGAAGGCCCTTCCAGCCCAGATGGGAAAGTGGAGGCTGCAGTCTCCCCAGGGTGCGGCGCCCCTGCCGGGGCGAGACTGGAGCACGCGTGGGGGTGGCTTGGGGAGGGGTGAGGGCAGTGGGGGGCAGCTGAGCAGAGGCCCCGGTGGAGGGAGGGAGGGGCCACACTGGGACGTCCCCAGTGGGAGACATGGCGGAAGGGTCTGGCGTGGGGCCACCCTTAGGAGTGGCAGGAGCTGGTTCGGCCTGACGCCTGCGCTGCTCTGGTGCGGGGAGCAGTGACGGGGCCGGAGGGGCACAGCCAGGGGGGCCACCAGGCCTCGTCCCTCCGCGCGCCTCGCGGTGCCCGAGATGGTCTAGCGTGCGCTGCGGCTCAGCTGGAGGGCAGCGAGGTGCCTGGGGGGCCGGGATGCCAGTGGCTGGGCGCGGGGACGGCACCAGCTGCAGGGACACAGGCCTCTCTCCACTGCCCGGTGACCGCCCAGACACTCAGGACACCCTCGAACGGCACTCGGGGGCGCGCCTGTGCCCGCAGAGCCGGCGGCCCGGCCTTGCGCGGGGAGGCAGCGCCACCTGGTGGCCGCACGCCGGCCTGTGGTTTCCGCAGAACTGGGAGCCTGCAGGCTCTGCCCCTGGGCCGCAGGGCCGCAGGGCCGCAGGGCCGCGGGGGTGGGGGGCTTTACACCCTGGGCCTGGGGCTGGGCCTGGGCCTGAGTGCCGGGCTGAGCGGATCGCCGGGAGCCTGCCTTGGCCTGGACCGGCCCCAGGCCGCCACCTGCCGCCCCTCCTACCTGTCCTAGTGGCGGACACAGGTGTGGCCCTTCTTTCCCGTTCCTGGGAGTCCCCTGCACCAACCCTCCTTCCCGAGGGAACCCTGGCCAGGGGCCTCCCTTCCACCCACCGGGCAGCACCAGGCTCCGCCACACCCACCTGACACCCCGCGGCTGCCCCTGGGGCGCGGGCTTGCCCTCCCCAAACCTCCCCAACCCTCCCCTGGCTCTGCAAGGACCCGCGGCCCTGCACACCCACCGCTGACACTGCCCTGGCGGCAAGCCCGCCCCCCACCGCCCCCGCAGGCCCGCCGGCCTGCGCCATGGCGCCGCGTCCCAGGCCAGGCTGTGTGTCGGCCTGATGCCTGTCACGGTCCCCGGGGTGGGCTCCGGGGGCATCCCCGCCACACAGCGGCGGCCACGGCCTGCGCTGCAAGGCGTCCTCGCCATGCCAGCTGGACCCCACATCCCTCCAGGGCCCGGGGACGCTGCCCTGGGATGGGGAGCTCCTCCGCCCACCCCACCATGGACACAAAGCCGAGAGGCAAGACCGCTGGGTGTGGGGCGGCGGCCAGCACGTGCGGCGCAGGCCGGCCTCGCCTGGGGCGGCCCTGGGCACCCAGGGCCCGAGCGGAGGCCGTGGTCGGACGGCTGCATGGAGCCCTGGGGACACCGGGTCCTGTCTGCGGGTCTCCCCCTGGAGGCACCGCCTCTCACCCCCCCCCATCTGCCCTCGTCTCGAAACCCTCCCTCCCTGGCTGAAGAGCGGGCCCTGGGGTTCACGGCTGATGTTTTCCTGCAGCTCAACCCCCAAAGACGCCCGCCCGCCCACGGGCCCCCTGCTGTGTGGGTCCCTCCACAGCTCGCTCTGGGGGGGCCCCCTCGAGACAGCAGGGCTGCCCCGCCTCGCTGTGCCCCCCAGAGCTCGGCGGCCAGCCCTCTCCGCCCTGGCAGGGCAGGCTGAGCCGCGGGAGGCCGACGCCACCGCACAGCACCCCGCTGCCTGCCCGCGACAAAGCCGCGCCTCTTCGGGGCCTGCCTTCCCGCGTGAGTTTTATTATAAAGAATGGTATCAAAATATACAAATTTGTTGAAGAGAACCAAAAATGCAGCTTTTTAAAGGGTCGAATGAGCATCAGCCATGTTGAAGGCAGCTTCTCCTGCCACCCTGTAGGTGCGGGCCGGGCTTCCAGGTCGTCAGTCTAAATAACTTAAAGGGCAGGTCTGGCTCCCGACTCCCGATGCGCCTCACAAGTCTTCATGGGGGGGCAGCTGTGTGGGGCGGTCCTCTGTGGCTGCTGTCAGAGAACACGCACAGGACGCTCCGTGAACCACCAGCAGGGACGGCTCTGAGGGCGTGTCCACAAGGTCGCCACCCACAGCCCCAGGGGACCGGCCAGCCCCAGGGGACCGGCCAGCCCCCTGCGGACACAGCAGCCAAGGGCGGGGCTCGTCCAGGCAGGACCCATGGCCCGGAGGCCCCCCAGAGCCAGGGGTGGGCGGCAGCGGCTGGGAGCGGGGGAGGCGCCCCTGAGGCAGCCCGGACAGGACAGGACCCCGAGCAAAGGTGGGGGCCGAGCAGCCGGTGCCGACGGGGACGTGCAGGCCGGGAGCAGCCAGCGACGGGCGGGGCCGTCCTCTGCCGGTCGCCAGTTCCGCTGCGCGAGGGGCCCTGCGCCCCGGGCGCCCCGCCACATGCCTGCACGTGGATGCGCTTTCGGGTCCTGCTCGGGACGTGGGCAGCTTCTGGGGTCTGAGCCCCAGCTCACCCTCTCTGGGAAAGTCCTAGCCAGGTCTCTGTGACTCTTTCCACGTGCTGAGGACTTCTCAGGGAGAACCGTGTCCCCAAAAGACGCTGGCGTCCCACCCCCGAGAGGAAGGGACCAGCCGAGGACCAGCAGCCACCAGGAGCAGGGACAGCCAGGAGCAGGGACAGCCAGGAGCAGGGACAGCCAGGAGCAGGGACAGCCGGGAAGGACCCAGCCCTGCAGGCTTCAGAGGGAGCGCCAGGCCCCTGGGTCCTGGGTCCTGGGTCCTGGGTCCTGGGTCCTGGGTCCTGGGTCCTGGGTCCGGCACCGGCACCGGCACAGCGGCCTGCGTGCCCGGGAGGCTCTGCGGAGACGGCACTGTGTGCGCGATGCCGCCTGTGTGCGCGAGCCTTCCGCCCCTGCTCCGTCACCCCCCGCCGCGTGGGTCCTTCTGGGCAGGGTGGGGAGACTTTGACGCTTCAGTGACCTCACTTTGCATGTCCCTCCGCCCATCTGCGCAGGGAGCTCCTCCTGCGCCTTGTCCCCACAGAGGAGCCTCGCGCTGGTCTTCCAGGAACCTCGAGGTCACCGCCCAGACCAGCGCCCCACCCCACTCACCGTCCCCCGCTGGCTGTGCCGGCACACAGGCGTCCTCCGTCTCCTCGAAGCCTTCGGGACACACGCAGACGTAGCTCCCGGGCGTGTTGTAGCAGTTCTCGTTTTCCCGCACGCACGCCTTTTCTGGCAGTGAGCACTCGTCTATGTCTGAAACAGAACGTCCCCAGAGTGAGTCGCCGCATTCAGCGGACGCAGCACGGACAGCGAGGCCCCTCACACACAGGAGCAGAGCTTGGAAGCGCCAACGGGAGACAGGAACGGGGGAGGACTGAGCCCACACCTCAAAAATCGGGACTCTTGGGGAGAAAAGCAGACAGGAGGCAGCCCGGGTGGACGGGCAGGCAGGCGGGCCCGGGCCGCGACCCCGGCCGCGCCAGCCAAGCGGACAGGCACCGAGGGTGCAGGGCTGGCGGTCGGCGGCAGCAGTGTGTGCGCCCGGGGCAGCCGAGGCGGCCCTGCACCCGACCTCTGCTTCTGCGTCCTGTGAGACCCCCCAGGGATTGGAGAAGCGTGAGGAGCGGGGCCTGCAGGGAGGGCCTGGGCCTCGAGCCCCGCGGCCCCTTGGGAGGCCCCCCCGAGCCAGCCCAGACGGCGCCCTGACCTGCACACTGGCCGCTCTCCCTGCTGTGGCCGGGGATGCACTCTTTACACTGGCCTGGGCCCTTCCCCGTGCAGCCCACACAGGTGGCATCGCATTCTAGGAACAGGAGAAAGAACTGTGACAACAGCAGACCAGCCTCAGGCAGCAACGCGGGGTCAGACCACAGCACGAGGCCCTGGCGCCCAAGAGCCGGTGTCCCCTCGCCCGTCCCGAGGGCGCTGACGGAGCGCCTCCAGCTCCTGGTGAAGGACACGCCCCCAGGAGCCCAGGCACAGACAGGGGACAGCGGGGAGCTCCCCAGCACTGCCCGTCTCTGAACCTCCGGGGAACCTGCGGGGCTGCGTCCCTCCCAACCCCCACCCCGGAAGCTGCTGAGGTTGCTCAACTTGCCGGCTGGGGGGTCAGCAGCAACAGCGGACCGCGTCGTCACTGCCACATGCCGGGCGCCCCGCGCTGTCCCCGACCCGGGGGACAGGCAGCCCTTGCACTGGCACAGCCGTGCCGGGTGCCCTGTGGCCCTCAAACCCACACCCTTCGAACGTGAAAACTCCCTCCGCGAGGACCCACAGCCCGGAGCTGTGGGGAACCACATCCGACGCGCGGCGTCACGGACCGCTGAGGGCGCTGGGGCGTGGTGGCGCGCTCCGAAACCCTGAGCTCGACACAGAAAACGACGGCGACGCGTGGGCGGCCGCCACCGAGGCCCCGTGTGCAGCCCGTGGGGCCTGTGGGCAGGGGCGGGGAGCGCGCTCCGCACGCGCAGGCCCCGCCCCTTGGCATCGGTGGTCTTTCCTATCATCCTCTTTTCAACCTGTTCCGATGTTCCGACTCGGCCACAGCAAACATCTCTCGCTTGCACGGCTCCCTTAGAGAGTGTGCACAGCTGCGCTGAGACGCCACGCGTGGGGAAGAGGGGGCAGACGGCGCCACCCCGCACCTTCGCAGCTGAAGGAGCCGCCGACGTTCTCGCAGTACTGCTGTGGGCTGCAGGGCGGCGTCTCCGCCGCGCACTCGTCCACGTCTGCAACACAGGGCGCAGCTGTGAGCGGCCGGCCCCGCCCCGTCCGGACCACGCACCTGGTCACCTAATACACCCCACGGCCAGGGACGGAAGTGACCACTGTGTGCAGGACGAGCCTTCATGGTCATGTGGCCTCTTACGTGCAGGGGTGGGGACAAGGGACCCTTGGTGCCACGAGGCAGGGGTTGCTGGGAGCACCCTCCTGCCCCACGGCCTGCACACGTTGGGCCTGCGTCCTGTGGTGGTGGGGGGCGGGGGGCACGTGGTCCGGCTGGCCCAGGGCTCAGCAGCCCCAACGGGGGCCGTCACCGATGCCGCCGGCACTGTGTGCGCGGAGGGCGGCTGCCTCCCCCTGCCGCCCCTCCGGCCTTCCTGTCGGCCATGGCGTGGGGCTCTGAGATGCTGCAAGGCCACCAGGCTGGGCGGGCGGGGTGACGTGCCCGGGGTAGCGGCAGGTCAGGAGCACGGTGACCGCTGGGCTCACAAGGGCGGCTCCCCAGCCCGGGGACTCGGGGCATCTGAGACCAGCAAGACCCGCCTGTGCCACTGTGCTGAGTGCCCACCGGTCAGGCCGCGTGCCACCCCAGCCTCCGCCGGCCTCATCTGTCTCTCGCGAGGCCAGGGCCTGGGCCCTGACAGCATGGACAACGGGCCGAGGGGCCGCCCTCCCAGCCCCGCGGGGGCTGCAGCGGGCGGAAGGCGGCCATGGGGCTCCTTCCTCAAAGTGGCAGGTCCGCCTGCAGCCAGCCGCGGGCGAGCCACGCGTGTCCCGGGGCCGTGAAAACGTGACGCAGGGGACCAGGGTCACCTTCTCCGCGGGTCCCCCCCGGGGCTGAGGGTCCAAGGTAGCCCGCCCGGGAAGGATGGCGCAGAGCCCGTGGGGCAGTGGGGGGCGGGGGCGGGGGCGGGGGCGGCTCACCCACGCAGGCGCCGTCCTCCGCGGCCCAGCCCGCCGTGCACTCCGCGCAGTCCCTGTTGGTCGGGCCCGTGCACGTCTTGCAGGACTCGTCACAGGCTGGAAGGCAGAGCAGGACAGTCAACACGCCGCAGAGGGCGTTTCAGAAGTGAGGGGTTCGCGTCCAGCGGGGTGAAGGCAAAAACCGAAAACGAGCAAAAAACTCCCAGGAAAGCAAGGTTCCTTTAAGGACAGAAAACCGCGCTCCTCTGGTTCATAACAGCGCATGGGGCTTCGCCGCTCACACATGGCGTCTCTCCAGCAACAGGACCGGGAGGGGACATCCCACAGCCCGGCTGGGCTGGCCCCCGTGCACTGGCGTCCGGCCGGGGGGCATCGGAGAACGGTCGCCCACACCGACTGCGTGGGACAGCCGGGGCGGCTGCAGAGCACGTCAGAGGGCACCCACGGGAAAGTGCTGCCAAGGCCGCCACTCTGGCCGCCGCTGCGTCTTCATAACCCACCCGAGCGAGCCGGTCAGCGAGCCACCCTGAGCGCTCACTCGCCCTGGGCTGGTGCGTCAGCGGAAGGCAGCCCGGGCCACCCAACGGCCAGAGGCCGATCCAGCCCACAGGGCCTGCCTGTGCCAAATTCCACGGGGGGCAAGGTGAGGGGCTGACCCCCCTTACCCCACACAGGGGCAGCCACGCTGGCGTGCTCTCCAGAAGGGACCCAAGGCCAGGGGGTCACGCCTCGTGGCCTCTGGGTGTCCAGCTCTCACCTGTGCCGCCTGCCCACCCGTCTCGTTGGGGGGGGCGGGCCGGGCTCGGCACCGTCTCCACGCCCTCCGGCGCTCAGCCTGAGGGGCAGCGGGCTGCGCCGGCCCCCGCAGCCGCGTGGCTCCCAGGGACGCCCAGCAGGGCGCCCACGGCCGGCGGCCCGGTGGGAGGGCCGCAGGGGGGCGCATCAGAGCCGGGTCGCGAGTGTAAGGTGGGGAGGGGGGTCACAGAGCTGCCGTCCCCCGGGTCCTCTCCACAAGGCCGTCGGGAGAGCAGCGACACTCGTCTCCTCTGGGGGTTGTTGAGGGACAGGAAGTGGGGCCACCGCAGGGTGCTCGTCTCGTCCTTTCCCCTGGTCCTGAACGTCCAGCGTAGGAGATGCGCAGGCCCTGCCCTGACCGCGGCCGGGCCTCTGGGAGGGACCGCCCCCCCGCGGACAGGGCGCTGCCGTGTTACCTGTGCACACGCTGTGCGTCTCGTTCCTCAGCGAGCTGAAGTAGCCATCCACGCAGTCGGCGCACAGAGCCCCGCGGTACCCGGGGTGGCACTGGCAGGACCCGTCCCCTTGCCGGCTGCCGTCTCCGCTGCAGCGGCCGTTCCCGCTGCAGGGCCGCTCAGACCCGCCCTGGCACGCTGTGGGGGCCCAGCCGCCGTCAGTGCGGGCAGGGCGGGGAGGGGGCCGCGCGCGGGGCGAGGGCTCTGGCTCGGGGGTGGGGGGGCGCTCCTTCACTTGCTTGATGCGTGGCTGAAATAAGGCTTCGGGTCTCAGGCTAAAACCCAGACCCTAGGCCGCCCCTAAAGCTAGCACGGCTCTGAGGACACGGGGACCCAGGAGCCTGACGAGGGTGTCCGGGCGGCCTCCCCTGAAACCTGGGACGAGGGTGCTCACCCCCGGGGTGCGGGGAGCTGCACGGACAGCAAGACCGTCCCACCGCGGACACCTGTCCGTGCGACCGCAGGAAAGGCAGGCGGGGGTGGCTGTGGCCGGTAAGAGGGTCTCACCTCAAACACGGTGCTGCATGACCCAGCTGACCACAGGGGTGACTTTGGTGATGCCCCAAAGCAAGGTGTGGCTGAGCCCTGACTTACCCGCGGACACCCCTGGCCCTGGCCTCCCACACCCGGGCCTCTGATGGGAGCGGAGCTGTGTGGGGGCCGCAGGAGCCGCCGCCCCGCACTCCTGGGGACACCAGGGAAGTGGCTTGGGAAGGGTGCCCAGCTGGGCGCAGAGGCGGCGGCGCCCCGGCCCCCTCCCGTGCTTCTGCCCACTGGGAATCGGACGGGGGACACCAGGGTCTCCCCGAGAAACACCTACCAAGGCATTCTGGCCCGTAAGTTCCCGGAGAGCAGCAAACTTTCAGCGTTTTCACACAAAACCATTCAAATAAGTCAGGGTGCTCCTTCTTCCTAAGGGTTTAAAAAGCTTCGTTAACTCCCACAGGACTGATTTCTTCGAGGCAAAAACGCAGCTCCCTGCAACGGGGGCGCCAGGTGTCGCGACACCTGGGGAGGGACAGCCAGGTGCGAACACTCTTCAGGAACTTCCTCATTTTCAATGCACACTAAGGGCGTAAAGGAGGTAACAGGAGTGAGACGGAAAACAGGTGTGTGGACACTCTGTGCTGTGTTTGTAACTTTCCTGAGGCTGAAATTCTCTCAGAAGGACGCGTTCAAAACAAAGGGGTGGTTTTGGCACCCCCCCCCCCGCCCCTGGGAGGACGGGGTGGGGGGGCCGCACTCACAGACGCAGCCACCAGGCTTCCAGCAGCTCCTCGTGCTCCTCCACCAGGCGGTTGCACTCGAAGTCGCTGCTCCCACACAGGCCCTCCACGATCTCCAGGAGGCGGACCTCGCTGCAACACGGCCGCGGCCTGGGTCAGCGCGCCCCACAGCGGCGCCCGCCCCAGGCGCCCACCCACCAGGTGCCTGGCGGGAGCTACGGGCCACGTTAGTGAAAAAGGCCCGCGACAAACACAGCGACTGGGGCTGGGGATCGTGGGTGCCACGTGGAGACTAGAACTCGAGGGGACGTGGGGAGCCAGGGAGGCCTCTTGATCCTCAGGGTGACGGAGGGCGGGGTGGGTCCCCAGGGGAAACGCTGAAGCTCCAGACAGAGGGGGAGTGTGCGTGGGACCCGTCCCAGCGTACATCTTTGAGAGACCACCAAGTTCGTCGTGTGGCTGGAAAGCCAAAAGGCCAGTTCGGGGCCAGTGGGTCAGTCCCAGGCCAGAGAACAGGTGGCCGCCCTGAAGGGGCCCTCTGTGCCCGTCATGCACGAGGGTGACGATGCTCGCAGGAACACGCAAGGGCTCAGAGCAGGGGGGCACCCACCTGAATTCATACTTGGACAGCGACTTCTCCTCCCACGCCGTGTTCCCACCGCCGAAGTTCTTCTTGGCCGTGTCCACCATTCCCTGCGGGGAGAGCGTGGGCGGGAGGCTTCAGCGCGCCGGTCCGCGTTGGGGTGACCCCCGCCCATACGGGGGAACCCAGGTCCAGCGTGGGCCAACCCCAGCTCCGGGTCCTGCGTCCCGGGCTCCGCGTCCCGCGCTCCGGGGCCCGCGCCCGCCGGCTCTGGGTCCCGCGCTGCAGGCCCACCTGGTTGAACTTGTCCACCAGCTCCCGGCAGCTCTGGCAGGGCGTCGGCTTCTGGGCGGCCTCGCCGGGCAGCAGCAACAGCCCCAGCAGCAGCAGCAGCAGCAGCCCCAGAGCGGCCGGGGAAGTCGGGCACATGGCGGGCCGAGCGGGCAGCGCTGCGAGGACGCGGCCGCGCGGGCAACGGCCGAGGTCGGGCGGGAACGGCCGAGCGCTCCGGCCTCCGGCCGCCCACCGGCTCACCGGCGCCGGCAGTTCCCGGGGCTACTTGACGGCGCCGGGCGGGACCCCGCCCCCCGCCATCCCTCGCACCGCTATTGGTCGGGAGAGCCCTTCCCGTCCCCATGTGGGCCAATCAGGGCTCGCCACGAGAAGTGACCAATAGGAAGGTCCCGGGTCAGCATCCCGCTGGGAAGGGATGGGGAGGGGGGCGTGGAGGTCCGAGCCCACCCCTCGCTCCCGGCCGCCGAGAGCGCCCGCGACGGCCATTTTTACTCCGGGCAAGAAGGGCGCCCGCTGAGACGACGGCTAGGCTTTGGTGGCCATGTTAGGTTCGGGCAAGGGCTTCGCCTCCGTCCTCGGCTTCCGCTTCCCCTCTTCCGGCCGAGGGCAGCCGGGCCCGCCGGGACAGCCGCGCTGCGGGGAACGGCCTCTTAGTCGCGCGTGGTAAGCGTGCGCTGCCGCGACCGGGGCTCTCGGGATGGGCGGCGGGGACCCCGAGGTGAAGCGTACGCTGCGCTCCTCCGGCCTTTCTGTGCGTGCTCACGTGGGACGGCCGCCGGGCCTCCCCGCCTGGGGCCGGGCTCCTCACCCGGGCCCGGACCCCTCACCTGGGGCCGGAGGAGTGCCTTGCGGGGCCCTGGAAGCTGCGTTTCCCCAGGTGCCCCGGCGAAGGGTCCTGGAGCCGTGGTTTCGGCGAGGAGAACGGAGATGAGCCTTTCCGGGGTCCCCGTAGGACGTACTTGCCAGAAGGAAGAACTGCACATGACACACAGTTTTCGCCGGTGTTCGGCTGGCAGCCGGCCCGATTTTCGCCGGATCGTTTGTGTTTGCAGCCGAGGGGCTAACCCTTGGCACGTCGGGTTTGACCTGTTTCAGTAGAGGCCCCAGATTCCGCATCGAGGGGAGCAGAGACCCTGGGAGCTCATTCCTGGCCCCAGAGGCCGTGGTTCCCTAGAAGGGCCGGTGTCAGCACGTGGGTGCTTGACGAGCAGCGCGTACCAGTGCGGACTAGCGTCGCCCACCCTCCGGAGTCCGGGGGTGGGGTGGCCCTGGGTCCTCTGCTGCTGAGGTCCCGCGTCGTCCCACGGTCCTGGGAGCGTCTGCCTGAGGCCAGACGCTCCCCGTGCCTTGCGCAAGAGCTGCTTGGCCGTCGGCTTCTGCCCTCGGTCACGCTGTCCTGTGGGTGAGAAGGCCCTGGAGCTTGGCAGCGGCCGAGTTGTGCGCACAGGGGACCGTCCTCGGAGCCGTGGCGCAGGCGGGGTCTTCGGGGACCTGCCTGAGCCGTGGCGGGTTCCTGCCAAGCAGGCCTTGTGCAGCGGTTTCCCCAGCTCCCGGCTTTCTGTTTCCTTAAACTCTTTTTTTCCCCCCGTGAAACAGTAAGAGGAACAGAGTACCATGTGGGTGTTCTCTGCTTTTGGCTTCGTGGGGATTAAAGCATCAGCATACCCTCACCGGAAACGAGCTGCTGCGAGGGCAGCCACGCTTAAGCATTTTCACCAAATTCCTTCAGCTGGTGTGCTGAGCGCCGGGCTCTGCTGGTAGAGCCGTGAGTCCGCCTAGTGGCCCTGCCCACGGGACAGAAACCCACAGCGGGGTGGTCGAAGGCGCCTTCCATCCAGCACGTTTCTGCGCTTCCCTGGGGACCAGGGCCCGGTCTCCTCGCCGAGGTGGCCCCTGGCGGGGGTGGGGTGGGTGGGGGGAGAAACAAACCTGGCAAACCCCGCACTGCAGGAGCTTCTGTTTTAGAAAGACACAAAGGAGCAGCACCTATTCCCGTGGGTGTTTTTAAATTTGGAAGATGGAAGTCACTTGCAAGGGGCACTGCGTTGTCTGGGTGGCTTGGATTATGACAGCCTGCCCCCCTCGCCTCCCCCACCTCGCTTGACCAAAGCCAGGAGATTCCCGGTCCTTCTCACCTACAGGTTTTCCTCACTTGTTGAGTCCCCCCTTGCTGTGGAGGGGGAGGGCCAACTCCTTAAACCCCCCTCCAACCAAAAAGTAGCTTCAGCGGACGGCACCGCGGCTCACGCTCCTTTTTCTTCCCGCCCTTCTGGTTTTCATCAAGCACAACAGACCTGTTTAAAGAAAAGCCAGAAATACAAAGACGAAGTTGCCATCTTTCGTCCCCCATTTGACAGGTCTAGGTCTTCCAGACGGAAGCTGCCTGGACGCATAACGCCCCCCCAGCCCCCCGTCGCCCTGTTGGCCTCTGGGTGCTCCAGTGCAGGCACATCCATCCGAACCCCTCGAGGACACAGCCTCCTGTTCCCACGCACATACTCACTTTCGTGACCAGCTTGGTACCAGTGGGGGCTCCACGTGGCGCTCAGGCAGTTGAGAAGGCAGCAGGAGGGGCGTCCACAGCCCCGCCCAGTGTCGGGCGCAGGGGCCTCTCCGGTTGCCCTGCGCCCCTCTCTGCTCTCTCGCAGCCTCCGCCCAGACCCTTGACCGGGACCTCGGGGGCCAAGCTGGGTTTGGGCGCCCTGCCCTCAGGGGCCGGCCACGTGATGCAGAACTAAACTCAGGGTCTGTAACCGAAGTCTTTCTTGCCGGAGAAATACCCAGCTTAGTGTAACGCAGCCAGTTAAAATCAGGGCGTCACTCAAGCACGTTTCTGTAAAAACGTTTCGTGTATCTGTAGACTCACAGGAGTGGCGACAAGCGTTCCTGCTTATCCTCCACCCACGTCTCCCCGATGGTGCCTCAAGAGTGATTTCTGAACCTTGGGAGTTTCCGTCTTCGCTGTGAAACGCCCCCAGAGAGGCAGTGCTGACGGCTGACGGCACAGGGCGTGCGGAGGAGCCCGGCATGGCCAGGGGGAGGCCGCCGGGCTCTGGCAGGCAGCGCTGGCTGCTGGGGCTGCTGGCCGCCGTGGCCGCCGTCCACCTGGCCGCCTGCCCCTATACCAAGGTGGAGGAGAGCTTCAGCCTGCAGGCCGCGCACGACCTGCTCTACCACCGGCTGCAGGTTGAGCAGGTGAGTCCTGCGCCTACGGCCGTGGCCTCCCTGAGCCCCGGGGCCTCTGCTGACCTTGCCCTCCCCCTGCAGTACGACCACCTGGAGTTCCCGGGCGTGGTCCCCAGGACATTCCTCGGGCCACTGGCGATCGCAGTGCTGTCCAGCCCTGCGGTCTGCGTGCTCTCGCTGCTGGGATCGTCCAAATTCTATTCTCAACTGACAGGTAAGGATGGGGGCCTTTGCAGGGGGACAGAAGAACCATCGTGAGGTCTGGTGACCTCAGCCAGCCAGCTGGAGGCTCCCTCAGCGGTGTCTTGCCTGTAGATCTTGGCCGTCCTCGGTCACTCAGCGTGGCAGTTCGGAGCACTGGCAAAGCGGCCATCGGCCCTTTCCGGGGAGTGACCTGGGACGGGGAATCGCGCGCCTCCCGTGACTGTGAAATGAGCGTGTCGGCACCCTCCCACCCAGAGGTTGCCCGTGCAGATCCTTCTGGGTCTTCTTCCGGCCTCAGTTTAAAAACCTGGCTGCACAGAGCTCCGCGGCCTCACTTTCCGGCCCGTGGTCACTGCCTTTCCGCTTCAGCGCGATTTCATTGCATCCCAACCCAGGCGGCTCCCGCGTTTCCCCAGCAGATGCAGGCGTCCTCAGAGCGAGTCTGTCTGGCTTGATGGCGCGGTGACAGAGTCAGGCCCCAGCGGAGGGGCGGCGGCGCCCCTGGGAGGGCAGCGTAGGAGAGCAGGGCGGCCACGCAGGGCGGCTGGGCGGGCCGCGCGGGGGTCTCTGGTGCCAGTGCCGAGCTGGTCATTGAGGACCGACACTGCCCACCCTGGCCTGGGCCTCGCGGTCCCGGTGGAGCCCTGGGGCCGTGCACCGGGGTCCAGGCTGCTGCCCCTGCACCCAGACTGTTTCTAATACCAAAGACCACTCCCCTCTTAGGGTCACCTAGTCGCTCACTGACCGCTGCACGTCACAGTGTGTGAGACCTGCTTGACGTACTGGTCACACACAGGGTCACCGTCCTTGTTTAGTCAGAGCGGTCCTCGGACTCGGAGTGATTTCTGGACTCTGGGCTTTGCAAAAAGAAGTGCGGCGACAGTTTGGGGCCACGGCGGCCACGGTGTTCTGCTGGGTGACGGCCACACAGTTCCACCTGATGTTCTACTGCACGCGGACGCTCCCCAACGTGCTGGCCCTGCCTGTGGGTATGTAGCTGCCGGCACGTCCCCCGATGCGCCCGTGCTGTTGCTGGGCTCGGCACACCTGCCGGGTGGCGGGTGAGTGGGCGTCCGGGCACAGCTGCTCCCCACGGGGTGTCGTGGGGACGCCTGGTGACAAGACAGCCTACGACGGGCGGTGGCGGCCGCCCCCAGCTGGGTCGAGGTGCCCCTTAACCAGGCGCTCACGGGGGCACCTGGGAGGCCTCCTGGTGAGCGGGCCGCGGGCAGACGGGCAGCTCGTTCTAGGGGCGCCCCAGGCAGACAGGGGGCCCTCAGGGGGCCCAAGGGTGGCGTGGGTTCGGGGGTCTGTGCCGACCTGGCAGAGGAGTGGCCTGACCCTCACCGTGCCTGGGGCGGGGCCCTCTGCTGGACGTGGGGGGGTGCAGCGCCACAGCGAGCCGCGCGGAGCCAACGGGGCGCCCTCAGTGCGCAGGGCCGGAGTGGAGGTCGGCTGAGGGGGGCGCTGCGTGTGGGGCGCCGGGGGCTCCGACGGAGCAGCCCGTGGGGTCGGGGCCCGGGGCCGGGCGGGACATCCCCGGGCGGGCGGACCTGGTCCCGAGCAGGGTTCGCTGTCCCCCGGGGGCTCCGCGTGGCCCCCACAGGGGAGGCAGACACCCGCGTCTCGCCGTGTCCGCAGTGCTGCTGGCCCTCACGGCCTGGCTGCAGCAGAGGTGGGCCCGCTTCATCCGGCTCTCGGCGCTGGCCATCCTGGTCTTCAGGGCTGAGCTGAGCCTGCTCCTGGGCCTCGCGCTGCTGCTGCTGCTCTGCACCCGGCGGCTGTCCGTGGCCAAAGCCCTGCGCTGCGCCGTGCCCGCCGGCCTGCTCTGCCTCGGTGAGTCGGTGCGGGGGCCCCGACCGGAGGTGGTGCTTGGTCTCATTCACAGACACGAGGAGAAATTGGGAGGGTTTGGGGTTTTGGTCGTTAAACAAAATTACATAAACTGAGCAGCGTGAGAATGTCTTTAAGCGGCTGTCTTTGCCGTGCTGCCCGAGTGTCCCCACGAGGGGCCCCCCATCCTGTCCTCGGTCCGCAGCGCCCCTACTCTGGCTGCACCCAGGTCACGGGACCCCATGGGAAGATGCTCCTGGGACCTGAGGCCCCAACGCACCAGCTCCTGCCCATGAAGCGGTGGCACGCGGTGGCTGGGTGGACGAGGCCACTCTGTTGGGACGCAGACCTGTGACCGAGGACTCAGGGCTGCCTGAGTTTTCAGGTGTTGTATCCTTTCCTGAGTAACTTATTTCCTTTGTTAGGACTGACGGTGGCTGTAGACTCCTATTTTTGGCGTTACCTCGTGTGGCCAGAAGGAACTGTGCTTTGGTACAATGTCATCCAGAACAAAAGCTCCAACTGGGGAGTATCCTTTACCTGTCGCTGTGGGATGGCCCGCTGCGCAGAGGGCCGGCGGCTCTGGCCTCGGTCAGGCCGCTGCCACACCTGACGGGGGGACACGGGCAGGGCCTGACTGGGGCACTCGGGTGCGCGGCGGCCGCGGCAGTTGCTGGAGCGCCGAGACCGGCGCCGTCCACATGGGAGGCCCCAGCGGGCGCGGCCCCAGGGGTGTTGCCGTGGCAGCGCCTCGCCTGCCCTGTGGAAGACCCGCCTCGCTTGCGGAGACCCTGCTCCTCTCTAGCCCTACGACACCCCGCTTCCTAGTGTCTCCTTGGGGGACACTTGGGCACAGAGAACGCACAGCGCGCTGAGTCCCCAGGGAGCCCGTCGCCTCGGGACCGTTGTTTTGACAGAAAAAAGGACGGGCAGGTCAAAGCCCTGCGCAGCCCAGGTCGCCGTCTGCTAGACGCAGTGCTGGTGCTCAGGCTGGGTCCTGGCCTCTGTCCACGGGTGGGGGAGTGGTCACGGGCACCCTGCTCAGGGACACCTGTTAGGGCCGTGTCTCCCGTGTTGTGCCGGCCTGGGCCGGCCTGAGCGGACAGATGACTTGCTGACCCGTGGCCTTCTTAACCCTCCCACCCAGACCTCGCCCCTGCTGTGGTACTTCTACTCGGCCCTGCCCCGTGGCCTGGGCAGCAGCCTGCTCTTCGTGCCCCTGGGCCTCGTGGACAGAAGGGCCCTGGTGCTGCTCCTGCCGGCGCTGGGCTTCGTGGCCCTGTACTCGCTGCTCCCGCACAAGGAGCTGCGTTTCATCATCTACACCTTCCCCCTGCTCAACGCCGTGGCCGCCCGGGGCTGCGCCTACCTGTGAGTGCTGGCGCCGCATCACGGCCCCTCCGCGCACAGCTTTGCTGGTGCTCAGAGGGGACAATTCTCAGGAGACATGGGGCGGCCCTGGCTGTCTCCATGGCAACGGCCGCTGGGCCAAAGCCAGGTCAGGATGGGCCGCGCACCGACGGTGGCTCAGCTTGGTCCATCTGTGTCTTTGGTTAATCCGGATGTGTGCCTCTGGCTTCTCTACACATGGTCATGCGGGGTGTTCGGGGCTTGGTCACTTGGGGGCGGGACACTTACGGCGGCCAGGCGGGGAGGCTCCGAGGCTGGCCGGTTAGGTGAAGGGCTGCCCAGAGTGGCACGCTGGCTCATCCTTGGGGGCTCAGGGAGGAGGGCCTACGGGCACCAGCTGGGCGCAGTCAGGACTCGTGAGCACAGAGGACATCCCGTCTCTATGAAGCCCTGTGCTGGGAGGGTGCCGGGGCGCTGAACTCGCCGTCCCCAGCCACCGCCCGGTGTGCGGGGGAGTGGGTTGGTCGGGGACCTGAGAGGACAAGCTGTACGTCTGTGGCAGGAGGCAGCGGTGCACACAGGTCCCTCCCCTCCCACGGGGGCGAAGGCAGCGGAGGTGCTTCCTGAACATTGATTCCTGGTCCTTGGCGAAGGTTGGGGTGGTGGATGTGTGTCTCAAAGGGCAGAGACGGGACTTACCCTTTAGAGCTTTCTGCAGTCACTGCCTGTGAGTGGCCCAGGGGCCACCTTCCCGTCACCAGGTGTGGCTGGAACACACAGGGGTGCTGGCCGTGCGGGGCTTCGTCAGGCAGCCGCCCACGGGGCGGGGCTCTCCGGGGGAGGCCCAGCGCGACCAGCCGAGGGTGACAGCGTTTCTGCCGAGGCTCTGCAGCCCCCATTGCCCGAGGCCTAGTCGAGAAGAGCTCGGCAGCGCCTGACCCGAGTCTGGTCAAGGGTTCCCTGAGGTGAGAGGGACCAGCTCCCTCCGTAAAGGACCAGGCACTTGTCGTTAATTTACCCTGGAACTCGTGGCAAGTGCCGAACACTCACGAGTACAGGATTTGACGAGTTCTGAAGCTGATGAATACCAAGGTACCTTATTCTTATGTCTGTGGGCCTCACGATCTCTGTCGTGGCCTGTGTTCTTCCGTGTCTGGTCAGCTTCACTTACGAGCCTGGCAGCATTCGGGATTTGGCACGTGGGCTGTGCTCCAGTGTAACTCATAACTCAGAATGTGTCAAAACCTAATAGCAATTTTAAATTGTCATCTTGGGTGGAATTTAACAGAGAAAAATTTTTAGGTAATTTTATCCACTTTCTCTAGTAACTTATCTACTTGGTGATTAAGCTTGTGACTCAGTGAAGGCGACCAGCCAGTTTATGTTTCCAGTGACATGTCTTCCACCTGTTACTGTCACGCACTTTCCACCAAACACACGGCTCCTTTTCCAGGCTGAACAACCACCGGAAGTCTTGGCTGTATAAAGTGGGGTCCCTCCTCGTGATAGGGCACCTTGTGGTGAACGCTGCCTACTCGGCCACAGCCCTTTACGTGTCCCACTACAACTACCCTGGTGGCATGGCCATGCAGAGGTTGCATGAGCTGGTGCCCCCCCGGACAAGTAAGTGCTCGGTCTGGGGACCTGCCGCAGCCTGGGCCAGAGGTGCCCGGCTGCGGTGCAACTGAGCGCACACGGTTTTCTGCAGACGTCGTCCTGCACATCGATGTGGCTGCTGCGCAGACAGGCGTGTCTCGGTTTTTGGAGGTCAATGGCGCCTGGAGGTATGCTCCCTTCGGGATGTGACTGTAGGTGGCGGCCCTCCTCCCAGGGGCTGTGCACGGGCTCCCTGCAGGCGCCCTGGCGATGGCGCTGGTATGGGGCCATGGCACAAGTCCGTGCCTGCTCCTGTCTTGCAGATACGAGAAGAGGGAGGACGTGCAGCCCGGGTCACAGCGCATGCTGGCCTACACGCACCTGCTCATGGAGGCGGCCCCCGAGCACCTGGCCCTCTACAGGGACACTCACCGGGTGTTGGCCAGCGTCGCAGGCACCACTGGGGTCAGTCTGAACCTGACCCGACTGCCTCCCTTTAACGTCAACCTGCAGACAAAGCTGGTGCTCCTGGAGAGACTCCTGAGGCCTTCCTGAGGGGACCGAATGGTGTCCACCGGGCTCCACCAGCGCCCGGCACGAGACAGCACAGGGAAACAATCACAGGACTGTGACGTGCTTCCTACACAGGCCTGAGGGGGCAGGCCGAGCCCACCCACTGCCACACTTGAGCACAGGCCCCACATCGACACCACTCACTGCTAGTGAGAACGAGGTGCCTGGGCACAGTCGCAGGAACAGGAGACTGCCCTGGGGAGCTGCTTTGGGGCAGCACACCATGTTTGTTGCCGGTGGGCCTCAGAGCACCTAACAAGGCGCACCCTTTGGGGAGGTCATGGGAGTGTGTAGCTGTGAAGTTGGGACCTCTGCCCCTGTTGCACAGCGTCCCCCCAACCTGCATCCTGAGCTGCTGCCGGCTCCCCTTCATAGTCAGGGGGACGGGTTCCATTTCAGAGGCATTTTAGCACGTACACATGTTCAAATGGAATGGTAATTAAAATTTGTAAATCCTTACTAGCAGTCTTATATATTTCCAGAGAGTACCTTCACCCAGACTTTACTTTTGAATGATGATTTTGGCACTTTTATTCTTTACTGACTCTCATTTATTAAGTAGCCAAAGTGTGTCTGATGTCAGTAAAACAGGATGCCAGCGTACGCGTATGCATACACACCGCATGCACCCGTGTGCATAAGGACACGCTACTGTTGTCAGCATGTGAGAGAGAATTGCCTACTGCATGGTCTGGACCCCGGGCTGCCCCCATGTGTCCTGGGAAAGACACCTCACAGTATTTTCTCCACTGTGACTGACAGTCTGCAGACCCTTCAGATCAGGACCTCCTATAGCTGTCCCAAACTTGGCACCTGCTGACAATGCTCCCAGCAGTCTTTGCAGGGCCTCCGTGCCTGCCAGTTAGCACTGGGCACTGCATGTGTATGAACTCCTACCTGCCTCCATTTATATGTCATCAGTACTTGTTATTTATCTATGATCAATATGTATCAAGCAGTGGATAATTTCTCAGCATTCTAATTGTCATTGATTTCTGTCATGTGTGTGGATTGGTGGCTTGTCTTGATGGTCCGAGAGTCACCCCGTCTACTTACCTTGGTGTACAGATTGCGCAGGACTCACCCTGAGACACTGTCAGGCTGCTCTGTCCTGTCACTTAGTTTTTGGAGCACTTTCCTACTTGGCATGGGCGTCACACCCATGCTCCTCTTGGCCTGTGTCCCCGTCCTCCAGCCAGCTATTTTCTCAGGGCATTTTTTGGTGGGGAATGGTTATACAGATTTTGCACCAGGTCTGATGTAAAATGTGCTTGTCGCTGGTGGGGAGGTCCATTTCGAGGCACTTGCTGTGGACAGAGCCAGGCAGGGCAGGCTGCCGCACACACGCATGTGCACGTGTACAAGAAATCACAATGCTGGCTTCTGTTCACACCCCTGGTCCACACTGTCCCGACTCCCACAGTGGCATCCTCACCCCAGCAATAGCAACGCGTTTGTTCAGAAGGGTGACTAGTTCGGGAATTGCTTTGCTATAGTACTATGGAAGCAACCCATGAAACAGAGCTCAGCTGTTTGCATCCTTTACTGTGGTACCCGCGACTGGAGGTTCATGGTCAAATGCTGTCCTTGGATTAGGCCCCCCTTGCTTGTGGTTGTGCTTTTCATTTGACTTGTCTTTGGATTCATGCTTTCTGTTTGCTTTCAGTCTTAGGGTCAGATTTTTCCTTCTTTCCAGTCAGTTGAACGTAGACACGGTCTGCACAGGGATGTTGCTCCCTTCATTTCCTGTCACCGCACCGCAGTTTCTGGATTGTCCTTTTTGTGAAGATAAGCAAATACCTCTGTTAATTGCACCAGGGGCAGCATTCCGTAACTGTGCTCTTCTGGAGCACCTGCAATCACGCTTTCTGTCCCTGAAGAGCTCTTGTGATTGGGACACGTAGCCCTGTATTATGTACACAGCCATTTCTTCTGTCTTCTGTGTGCAGGCATTTAGGTGGTTGTTAGTATTTTCAAACTTCTAATGGTGCTACAACAACTAACCATATGCATTTGCACTTTCGTATAGTTCAAGGGGCATCTTTAAGGTAAGTTCCTAGAGGTGGGGTGCTGGGCGAGGGTCAGTGCATGTTAGCTTGGCTCAGTCGTGCCAAATCCTCTCCATGGGGGAGCCCGAGGCTGAATGAATCTGCTAAGCCTTGTCAACCTACCACTCTGCCAGGCGAGTGGTGGAGCCTCCCAACAGCCGTGCTCTTCCTTCCCCAAGGAGCGAAGTTGACGCCTTCTCACAGCACGAAGATCTCTCTTTCCTGTAAGTTGACTGGTCATGTCACGTCTGTTCTCCTTTGGATTTTTATAATTTTCCATTCACATTCTAAAAATACAATTAGTAGCGTATTCACCCATTATCAAAATATATGTTGCAATTTTTCCATTTGTCTTGGCACAAGTGTCCTTCACTTGACGTTTTCATGTTTATGTGTCTTCCTTTTCCTGCATCATAGTTGAGAGGCTTCCCAGGCAAGAGTTCAGCCTCGTCTTCTCTCTGTGCCTTTGTAATTTCTTCTCACATGTATACCTCACAGCAGTGTGGGTTCTTTTTCGTTCAGTGTAAATGTGGGTCTAATTTTATATCTGAAGTCACAAACTGAACTTCTACATCAAGTTTTGGCAATCACAAATAAAGCTGCTTTAAATACCCATGTGCAGGTTTTTGTGTGGATCAAAGTTTCCAGTTCTTCTGGGTAAATACCAAGGAGCATGATTGCTGATTGAATACTAAAGGGTGTATTTAGTTTTTTAAGAAACAATTTGTTTCAGAGTGGCTGCACCATGTTGCGTTCCCAGCAGTAGCCGAGGGTTCCCGCTGCTTTGTGTCTTCAGCAGCATCTGGTGGTGTCAAGTTTTGCTCATCTCTTCAGTCTGTTGTCTTGTGGTGTGCTGCACCAGGGGAAAGGAGCTGCTGCAAGAGGCCTTAGTGGCACGGTGGTGACGTGTGGGGAGGGGAATGTTCTGTGGTCCCAGGATTAGGCTGTCTTTAGTGAAATCTCTGCCTCTGCGCTGTGACCTCCACAGGACTTTCTAAATTTTCTTCCCCTCGGTTGGGACAGATGGCTGGAAGGGGCTGGAGCTGGGTATTTATTTCCCTTCCCTCATTGTTTTGCTCTGGTGTGGTAGTTTCTACCAAGGACAGTCCTTGTTAAGAATAGAGTGCTCTGGTGTCTTCGAATGGCTTCTTTCCCTTTTTCCTGCTGGAAACAATGGTATTTGTCTCTGATATTGACTGTGGGAACCTGCTCATGTTCCTGTAGAAAAATCTTGCCATAGGGTGGGGCGCCCTAAGACTGAGTCTCCCTGGTTTTTAACTGTCAGCCGTGTCCCCATTGGCTGGTGTGGCTCACTTGGTCCATCGTCCCGTAAGCCGAAAGGCTGTGGGTTTGATTCCGTTAGGGCACATACCTCGGTTGTAAGTTCTGTCCCCATTGGCGGCCCACGTGAAAGGCAACTGATTAATGTTTTTCTCACATTGATGTTTTCTCTCCCTAAAATCAATAAGCATGTCCTCAGGTGAGAATAAAAAAAAAAAAAAATCACTGTTCCCGTGTTCTGCCTGGAGCGAAGTAAAAATTCACAAAATACATGAATGCGGTTTCTACGTATATTGGACCCAGGAGAGGATGACTATTTTATCATCCTAAGAATAAAAAGGCAGTGTACTCCAACAGTAGGAAATTGCAAATAAAAAGTTTAATTTCAGAAACTGAGTTCACCATTTATAAATACACTAAAAACATAGTTGATGCAAAGTCAGATTAATAGGTACAGTATTTTGATGAAACGACTCTTCAACAGGGTCGTAGGCAATGAGCGACTTGTTTCACCTGGCATAATCCGTTGGTATGAAATAAGCACACGAACCCTTTTCTAGATGTTGAAGCAACAACTCTGAAGGCATGTTATTGTTCAAAGAACCTGACAACCGACCATTCATTCCGATGTCCTCGGGATTCTAAAACACCCGTGATGGCTGAGTCTTCCCTATTACAAAAAGATCTAAACACCTAAGGCTATTCTCACAATTGTAATATAACCACCTTCTTCCCTGTTAATCAGCCACCTCTTCTACAAAGAACTGTATGCGTGATTTCATCAGATGGGGGGATCACTACACAAATGTCAAAAGAGCTTCCGAGAGCAGAGACACTAAGTCAGAGGCGTGGAGGTCTAACCGCCAGGACTGCTGTAAACGTGCCGTGCGGTGCGCTGGCCGGACAAGAGGCAGCAAGGGGCTCATTATAAACGGTCAGGACGTCTCCGAGTTAAGTGACAATGTGAAACCTGAACGCAAAGAGTGTGGGGAAGGTCTCCTTAGCGACTACCACGTAACTGACATTCCATGATGCATGTAAGTTTAGCTGTCTCTCTAAATGCCACATCTCCGTTGTAGTGACCAGCGATCTTCTAACATATTCTCTACACTCCAAACATACATTACAGCTGCAGTTAAAAACTGCTCAGTTAGGATGGCTTCAGCTCCACCTCCACTTTACAGATTTTATTGGACACCCACATTTTTTTCTTGCAATAAAAGCATTTTTTATCTAAAATACAGTACCTGATTTGTAGTTTTTATATAATTGAATAGAAAACCTGCAGAATTAAACTATTTACATCTGTCATTCCAGTAAAACAAATTACACTCAGCTTTTATTTATTTTTATTTTGAGCATATGTTTATTAAAGCTGGGGACAGCGAGGCAAAGAAGGGCTTAGAATAGAAGATGCAACAGGAAAAATACAGGGCTGCTTTAGCTCTCCAGAAGTGTTAAAGAAATGAGCCTATGCAAGGTTGCTTTTGCTCCCTGGAAAATCAAAAAAAAAGGCCTTGGACACGTGTGCAGGCAATAAACCCAGGAAAGCTGCTGCCGCACATTGCTACCCTGGTTGCAAATCTCATAGGTCCCTTAAGTTTAGGAGATGCACACCTGAGAGGGAGTAAGAAAGGGAAGGCCAAGGCAGGAGCATACTCCTGGGAAGGGGTAGCAGACCAAACCCCAACTTTTAAAAACTACAGTTAAGGATTAAAACCTAATCATCATATTTTATAACAAGAAAAGCCATCATAGTGGCTTCTTAATACACTGTGGTACCTGGCCTGAAGGACTGAGTAAGGCACATGTAGACATTACAGTGAGTCTGGAAGGGAAACTCGGCAGGGACCTGAGAGTGCCTGGCCCGATGTCCTCCGAGGCCCCAACTGCACGGGGATGGGTTTCTTGGTTATTCTCCATGACTGACCATAACTATTCTGGCTGTGGCATCAGGTTGAAATCTTGGTAAAAATGACCCATATGTTCATTCATGCTCCTAAATGTACGGTATCTTCAGTGTTTTATAAGTCATTTTATCTTTCGGGATGTTTATGAATATGATTAATTTCAAACCTTACTGAAAAAATGGCACACGTAATTTATGAGCGTGTCATCCCTGGTTGCAGACCACTGCCTTCCTGGAGTCTTATAAAGTACTTTGTGGTGCTGACTGACCCTTTGTTGTTGTGGAAGCGGGGTCGCTGCCATTTTGATGGTGGTTCTGCATTACCTACAAAAGAATAAATCAGGTCAAGCACTTAATTGAATTGCTCTTTTCACACCTGACGTATCAGGGACATGCCAGCCTCAAAACACATTAAAAAAAATATCAGTAATGGTAAATTAAAAAAGAAAAACTTGTTCCTTGACTTTCTATAATCCACCTATACAATGAAAATACTCTAAATCTGCAAAATTAAGGAAAAGATTAAGACATAAATTTAAATTCAAATGGCCTGTTAATAAAGGATTGGGGCAACAGGAGCAAAGCCCGCGTCTACATAGGACATTTCGGTCTAGAGCTGATGCCCTCACCCAGCACGCCGTGCGCCAGAGGCACCAGGTGATACTATGAGGAGGGAAGCTGCACTCCCTGAAATCAGTTTCATCCCACTTTGCTGTAAGAACTGACAAGAAAGTAAGAACTAAGGCCTGGACAGGTGGCTCAGCGGCTTAGACCGTGGCCCAATGTATCACGAAGTTTGCAGATGTGACCCCAGGTCAGGGCACATACCTCGGTTGTGGTTTTGGTCGGGGTGCGTATGGGAGGCAACCGACGGATGTTTCTCTCTCACACGGATGTTACTCTCTCTGTCTCTCCCTTTTTCTCTCTGTATAATCAGGAAGTATATCCACAGAAGAGAATTTTTAAAAAATGATCCACTTTGGTCCCCTCTCAGGCAGCCATCACAAGTAAGGAGAGGACCTCAGCCTGAAGGGGCCAAAGCCGGGCCAAGAAAAAACAGCAAGTCCAAACACAGAGACGGCTCGCACTGACCACCGTCGCCGCTCTTCCTGTGTCCACAGCTCCATCCTCCCGGTCACTCTCGAAACCTATGCAGGACATTTCACATTTTCTGGTCACTCTCCAAATGCTATGCAGGACAGAGACCTGAACACACACACACACGCGCACACACACACACACACACACGGTGGTCCCTCCGTGTCCACAGGGCGTGGGTTCCAGGACCCACCTTGGATGACAAAATCGGCAGATGCGCAAGTCCCTCCTGTGAAGGGTGCAGCTCGGTTACCCGCGAGCAACGGGAGGTGAGGGCGCCCCCCCAGGCACCCATCACGTGCGACGCTCGATTCTCCCCAAACACACTGCTGACGGCCCTCTGTTGGCTCGACGCGCTCCCAGCGATACAAACAAGCCACGGACACTTACCGTCTCTGTGTATTTACACGTTCTGCTCTCACAACAGAGAAAAGAAAACGGTAAGAAAATCACGAGGAAGAGAAAGTACCTTTACGGTCCTTACTGGGAAACACACCAGGAACAGGCGGACCCTCACACTTCACAGCCCTGGTGTTCAAGGGTCTGTATTCGCCCACGGCCCGCACACGCGCCCCCTGTGAACTCCGAGTCACCGCTCGAGTCCTCAAAATACCTGGCACGTGGAAACAGTTGTCGCACCGTAGCGCTGAGAGAGGCATGACAAGGAAAAAAGCCTGCACCTGTTCGGCACAGACACAACACGCAGCATCGCGGGCCTCGGCACAAAGGACGCAGCAGCAGGAACACGGACGTGTCCCCAGTGGTTCCGACCGGCCTGCAGGTGTGGAACCCCCGGACACAGAGGCCCACATACCCCTTCAGGAAGCGAACGCCGCAGAGCAGCTGCTTGGCGCACACGGTGCGGCCAACAACCCTAGTCACTTCTTACAGGTCGCTCTCCGCGGTGTGGAGAATGTTCTCTGCACAGCCTGAGGAGCTTACGGACCCCCCCCCCGCCAGTGTTCCCATCCAGGAATTAACCGGCACCAGCGAGCGGGTTTCATCGCTGTCAGGTGGACTCTCCGCCTCAGCCTGCTTTTCACGCAGCAGAGGAACTGTGCGCTCTGACACTTTTTGAAGACTCACAGAAAACCTCGAGCGTGTCCCGCAGCTTTTCCTGCGAAAACGTCAATCATGACAAGCAGGTAACAGCTAAGCAGGACCGAGGGCAGGGGCCGCAGGGTCCCGGGGGAAGCCCTGGAGCCTGCGAGCCAACCCCTGCAGGCAGCTTCCTCTCCGAGGCAGCTGTTCAGTAACTGAAATGAACTCCTGATTGAAACCCGGCTTATTCATCGCAGTAAGTGAAAGGAAACCAGGTCCTTCCTAGTCTCCTAACTGTGTCACCATGTGCTGGAGAAAACATCAAAAAAAGGGTACCATTTCTATACACAAAGTCACAAGGATGCCGTTGCGTTATTAAGCAAACTGGCTTTTAAAAAAAAACAACTATGCACTTCGAAGTGAGGTTCAAAACAGATGAACTTCCCGCTCTTCACAAACACGATTGCCGGGGCCCCCACGCGACCGCCACTCTTCCCGGACGATCTCCGTCCCCCGGCCCCGCCACTCGGCCCGGCCGGACCCCGCAGAAACGACACTCGCCTCGCGCGCGCAGACCCTCGCGTGGTCGCCCTTCCCTGTGGGCCCCGCGGGAGCCCTTCTGGACGCATGAGCCCAACCCGTCGTCCCCGCGGCGGCGGGGGCACCGCACCAACTTTTACCACTTTAATCGTCCACAAAATCGTGCTGCCGGAAAACGCGCCTCGGGGGCGACCCTCCGCCCGCCCGGCTCTCCAGGGCCGCCGCTCGCCAGCTGTCAGCCGCGGCCGGGGTAGAAGACCGGACTGGCGCTGCAGACCAAGGGAGGCCAGGCCCGCCCGGCGTTCACCGCAGGCCCTGCCGGGCGTAGACATTAACGCGGCGGTGCGGCACCGCCAGGCCTTCGAACACGTCCACGACCATCCGCACAGTCCGGCCCCGACGCCGAGTCCGGGCACGAGCTCGAGGCTGAGGCGCAGCCGGTGCCACCGCCCCCTCACCGCGGGCGCCGGGCTCCGGGGACGGGGCTCCACCGGGTGCGGACCGCCGGCGGTGCAGGAGGACGCGCTTCCATTCATTGGCCGCCGGGGCTCTGCCCGTCCCCGCGGCCCCTCCCGCCGCGGATGCCGCCGCCGCCCGCCGCCCGCCAGCCCGCGACGCCGCCGGACGCTGCGCGCCTCTCAGGGCCCCGCGCGATGAGGGGCGGAGCCGGGAATGGCGCCGCAGTGCGCAGGCGCAGCGTCCGAGAGGCAGTGGGAGGTTCTGGTGCCACGGACGAGGTAGGAGCGGACGGGGTGGGGGCAGGGCAGACCACGCAAGCGCAGAAGCCGCACGCTGGCCTCGGCCCCGCCCCCGCCCCCGCCCCCGCCCCCGCCCCCGCCCCCGCCCCCGCCCCCGCCCCCGCCCCCGCGGAGGGCCGAAGCGACTGCTCAGGTGCACGGGAACGCTTAGGCCCGGCTGGGAAAGGCCGGCCACGCAAGCGCAGTTCCTGGGCTTCCACGCCGTCTCCGCGCCGAGACCGAGCACACTGCTGTGTCCAAGCTTCGGCGTCCCAGCGGGGGGGTCCCGGGGCCACGGCGGTTCAGCTGCGCGCTAGGCTTAGCCCGCAGGTGCGCGTGGGTGTGCCAGGCCCGGTCTGTTCGCGCGTTCCGGCCGCAGGCTCGGCCCCAAATCCGCCGGGCCTCGGAGCACCGGAGCCGCGGGGACAGGGAGCCCCCTGCGTGCGGCCTGCTGCCCCGCGTGTCCCGGGCCGCGGGAGGCAGCGCCCGGAGGCCGGCTTACTTGGCGACGGCACCGAGTAAAACTGAACCCTGCGTGGGCCGTGGAGGGAGCGCGCGCTGCCGTGGCCCCGGCAGGGCGGCCCTCGGGTGGGGCTGGCTGCGGCTTCCGAGCCGCCAGCCCCTCGCGGGGGAGGCCCAGCGGCAGCGGGTTCTGGCGTGCGACGTACAGGTTCCTGATGCAGACTTGTGTGCGTGCCCGCTAACTTCTGCTGGCTCGATTCGATCGAGCGGCCGGTCCTTGGGCACCTTGTTTAAGTGTCAACGTAACGATTAGGAAGTGGTGCACTCAGCAGTTGCTGGCCACTTTCGCCGGGTGAGTCCACGCGCCCGTCCTGCCCGGGGCCCTGCGTGGCTCTCAGGCCGCCCTCCCCCGGTCTCCACGACCCCCTGCTCCGTGGCAGAGCCCCTTGGCGCACCAGTTCAGGCTCCTTCCGTGCCTGCGCCAGGCACGCAGGCATTTAGGACCTTGTCCGCACCCTTAATTATTACTTGCTTCGATAAGCGTTTTGTTCTTTTTTGTTCTCCCCGAAGGCTCCCCCCTCGTGGGATGCTGCCGGGCCTAGGGCCGTGCTGGGTGTTTCTTGGGGAGCTCGGGGGGCAGCCAGGTGGAGTGCAGGGCAAACTGCCCGCCAGCAAAGATTGTTTTCTCATTTTTAGGTTTCGTGGGGGACGTCAAAACGATACTGTCTCGTGACCTGTGAAGACGGTATGAAGTTCAAGTGATCTGGGTGCCCGTTTCGCCACCAGCGCCTGGCCCGCAGAAACCGCACCGATGCCTACAGGCCGCGGCGGGAGCGGGCGGTGGGCAGGGAAGGCGGGTGGCCGGGCCGGCCTCCCAGGGGCCGCGGCTGCCGGGTGGGCGTTGCGCGCTGACACCAGGTGTTCTCAGCTTGAGGGTTTCATGTGGATGGGTCTTCTGTTTCCCACATCCCAGTGGGGAGGTTTCTCATGCCCGGGTCAGCTTCGTTTTGTATGTGAGCTCCTGTAGTTCCTTTTTCATGTGTAGACTTCTCATCTGTTTGGAGTTTTTTTTGTGGTTGTTCATTGTGAGGGGTGGGGCTATTTTTATCTTTTCCACATGGCTGTGTGCCTATTAAAAGTCCATCTTTGCCTCAGGGATTTCAAGTCACAAACTGAATTTGTGCATCAAGTTTTGGCCATTACAAATACAGGTGCATCATTTACTTACTTTTAAAATTTTCTTTATTTACTTTTAGAGTGAGGGGAACGGAATGAGAAAGAGAGGGAGCGCTTCAGTGACTGGTTGCTTTTCCCATGCCCCCAGCTGGGGACCTGGCCCGCAACCCAGGCCTGTGCCCTGACTGGGAATCGAACCAGCGACCCTCCAGTTTGCAGGCGGGCGCGCAATCCACTGAGCCACATATGCAAGGGCATAATAAAGCTACTTTAAATATCTATGTGCAGGTGTTTGTGTGCAGAGAAGTTCCCAGTTATTTCGGGTAAATATCAAGGAGCATGACTGCTGATGGAACCGTCAAGAGCGTGTTTAGTTCTGTAAGAAACTGACCGCTTGTCCTTCAGAGCGGCTGTGCCGTGTCGCATTCCCACCAGCCGCTGGGCGAGGGGTCCTGCTGCTCCACGTCCCCACCAGCATCGGGCGGGGTCAGGGTCTGCTCCCGCCTCTGCGATGCTTTTTGTCCTGTGGTATGCCGTCATTTTGTCTTGGTCGTGGGACATGCTGCACCAGATGGAAGGAGCTGCTGTGAGTCGTGCTTGGTGACACGGTGGTGGGGTGTGAGGAGGGGGCTCTTCTGTGGTCCTACGATTAGGCCCAGCCATTAGTGAAGTCTCTGTGCTGTGACCTTGACAGGACTTTCTGTTTTCATCTCCCCCTCGGCCGGGACAGGTGGCAGGACGGGGCTGGAGTTGAGTATTTCCCTCCCCCCATCAGTTTTGCTCTGGTGCAGTAGTTTCTACCAAGGGCAGTCCTTGTTAAGAACAGAGTGTTCTGAAGAAATAGGGAAAATTAAGGAGAAGAAAAAAAAACCCCAAAACCCAGAGAGCTCTGGTGTCTTTTGAATGGCTCCTTTTCCTTTCTCCTGGAAACACAAAGGCATTTGTCTCTGGTATTTACTATGGGAACCTGCTCATGCTTCTGGAGGAAAATCTCACCTTATGCTGGGTCTCCCTGGTGTTAACTTGCAGCCAGGTCGGCTCTGGGCCTCTATAAAGTCGTTGCTTACAGTTCAGGGAGCCCGAGGCACCTTCCTGTGGCAGTTTCTGCTTGTGAGTCTCTGCCCCAGGAAGCCATGATGTCTTGTGTTCACAGTTCTCGCACCCCTCTTGGCGGCAGGTGTTTGCCCTGCATCCTCCATTATCTTACGGATCCTGGAAGAGTTGCTGTTTTCAATTTTTTTTGTTTTTTACTTGTGAGGATGGAGTGGTATCTTGCAAGTTCCTTACACGAGGAACCCCAAACCAGAAGTCAATAATATTTCTTTTTAAATCAGGCAGAAAAGAAAAAGTGGAGTTACAAAGCACTGTTACAATGAGACTGGTTTTTATAATTGCCCCTGCATTTACATTTTTCTGAACCATTTATTTCTTCAAATGTCCTCATGTGACTGTCTCGTGTCCTTTCACTTTGTCCACTGCTCTCCTAAGCCTTTCTGGCAGGGCAGGCCTCGTGGTTGCGAACTCCCATAGTCTTTTGCTTATCTGTGAATGTCCTAATTTATTCTTTATCTTTGAAAGAAGTTTTACTAGATATTTTTGATTGACAGTTCTTTTTAGCACTTTGAAAATATTTGCCCACTGTCTCTTAGTTTCCAAGGTTTGTGATGAGAAATCTGCTGATCATCTTATTGTTAATTACTTGTGTGTGACAAGTCATTTTTCTTGATGTCTTCAAGAGTCTGTTGTTTGACAATTCAGTGATCCAGTGTGTCTCAATGTGGGTCTTTTTGAGTTCATTTTACTTGATGTTCATTGAGCTTAATGGATGTTTTTATTAGTGTATTTAATCAAATTTGGGAACTTTTCACTCAGTATACGTTCACATATTCTCTCTGCCTCTTTCTCTCTCCTTTCTCCTCCCGGGACTCCTACAATGTGTATGTTGGTTCACCTCTTGATGTCTCACAGGTCCCGTAGGCTCTGTTCACTTTCCTTTAATGTTTTGGTTTTTTTTTCTGTTTCTCAGGCCGAATACTTTCAGTTGTCTATCTTCAAGTTTCTGATTCTTGTTCAATCGGCTTTTGACTGCCTCTAGTGAATTTTCCATTTCATTTATTCTTTTCAGCTACAAATTTCTTTTCAGGTTTTCTGTTTTCCTTAATATTTTCCTTTTTTATTTACACACCTTTTTTTTTTTTTTTAACTTTCTATACCTCTTCCCTTAGTTCTTTAACTGTCTTTAAAACAGTTGTTTGAAGTCTTTGTCTAGTAGATCCACCATCAGATCTTTTTTCAGGAACAGTTGCTGTTGATTTTTTTTTCTCTGAATAGTGTGTACTCCCGTTTCCTTGTACGCTTTGGGATTACTTGTTGAAAATGCACATTTGAATGTAATAATATGAAACCTCTGAACACCAAATTCTTCCCCTTCTGTAGTTTGCTATTGTGTGTTAGTATTTTTTTATATTATCATTGTAGGCCACCTATGTGCTGAGGATCAGCTTTTGGCATAAACTTAACTTCTTAGGTCTTTTCTGTGCCTTTCCTTGGGCATACACATCACTTTCTATTTTTCCCCATACATGCAGTTTGTGTTGAATGTCTGCCTCCTGAAAGGCATAAAGGATTATGGTAGGGGTGTGTGTGTGTGGCGGGGGCGGGGGCAGTGCGGGGTAAGGGTGCTGACACTTTAAATCCCCTGAAAACCACTTCCATGGAAAGGGAGGGCCAGCAGCATGGCTGCTCACCTCCTTGTCTGCGCCTTTGTGATCAGAAACAGCAATTAGCATAGATCCCTGGCATCTGGATGGCATGGTCCTTTTTGCCCACTCTGGCAATGGCACAGTGTGTGTGAGCTGTTCCAAGAACACGTGCACAGCTGCCTGGCTGGGCGTGGGGATAAGTAGCTGCTACCCTGCTGAGAGCTCAGATTGGCCAAAATTAGCTGCATTCCCCTTCCAAGTCTCTGCTGGAAGCTGTTAGCCTTCAGTACTCCCCAGAGCTCCCGAATAGCTAGAGTGCAAGGATCCACTCAGCCTTTGCTTCCTGTAACGTCCTGCTTGCCTGTTGTGACTTTGTCTGAAAGCCTCAGTCTGCCTTTACTTTAAACCCTAACTGGTACCACTGTTTTAAACGGCCAGTACTCGCCTGATTCCCAATTCCTTACCTTTCCCAAAAATGTGTCTCCTCTGGTGTCATCACATGTCCATCTGGAATAGTTTTCCTTCTGTCTGGAAAACACCCTCCAGGAGGTATTTCAGAAAAGGTCCACTGGTGACAGATTGTTTTGTTTTGTTTTGTCTGAAACTTCATTTTACCCTCATTTTTGAGGTACCTGTGCCGGACATGTGAGTCTGGGTTGGCACTGCTGATGCCGTTCCAGTGTTGTAACTTCTGTTGTTCCTGTTTTCTTAAAAAAGCAAGCTGCCAGTTCAGTTGTTCCTCTAAAGTGTCTCTTCTCTGCTTTTCAGATTTCATGTTTTTGGTGTTCAGCACTTTACTGTGTTGTCCTTAGGTGTAGGGTTTTTTGTCATTTTAAATTTATCGAGTGGCATTTGTGGCTTTGTCCTCGGTCGGCTTGGGAAAGCCCTCAGACACCCGCTGTCTCCTTTAGGTGCTGCCTGTGCATGCTCTCCTCCTCCGGGATCCCTGAGACCTGTCACCTCCCACTGTCCCATGCCCCATCCTTTCTCTGTGCTTTAGTCAGAGGTTTTCTACTGACATGGCTTCCAACCCAGTAGTCTTCTAATCTAACTGTATAGTAGGTTCATTTATTGCCTTCTTACACTGAAATAGAAAAATGACAAATCAAGACTGTCTTTATAGATTTTTACTTTCCAGTGACATTCTCTACCATATCAATTTTGAATGTATTAATCAAAGTTAGCATCCGTGTCTGAAAACTGACATTTTAATCACCTGTTTCTTTTGTCTGTTCTTTCAGTCTTCAGTCATGTTTTTAGTGTTGGATAATACCTTCCTAGGAGTCAAACTGTATGTAAGTAAAGTTATAGTAGCTCTGGGTCTTTTTATGGAAACAATTTAATTTTCCTTTGGACAGAGAGATGGAGTTGGGCAGGCCATTGAGAGGTGCCTGAGGTCAAGAAGATGCAGCTGTTTGGGGCTTTGTAACAACTAGTCTATCCCTGGGAGCCTGGGGGGTCCTCTTGCTGGCAGGCACTGGAACGTGGTTGTCTCCCTGCACAAGGTACCCACTTAACTTCTCAGCTTCGTGCCTTGCACACGAGCGCCTCACAGGGACCAACATCTGTCCCGGGGCGGGGGCGCACACAGGACACAGCCTCTCCTGAGGCACCCTCTTCCCCAAGACCTCGGCCGCTGGAGCCCTGGTTGATGTCACTGCTGCCTGCTCTGCGCGCCACCCCGCACACCAGCAGACGCTCCCGGAGGAAGCGCGGGGAGCCGGCGCACTTCCCTTCGTGCGGGCGCTCCTTCACTCAGCCCGTGCTTCCTGAAATCCCTGTGTGCTCCCTCATGGCTTCAAAAAGTTCTTTTCAAAAATTATTTGCTTCTGGTCTGAACAGTTCTTGGTCTGATACCAGCTGCGGCCTCACAGCAGTGGAGAAAATTTTAAGTAAAGAACAGCGTTTTATTAACATACAACAGCATTCATTCACTAAAACAAGACAGTTCCGGAGGCTTACACAAAGGCCCTTTTATTATGAGCAACCAGAGAAATGAAGCCACCTGCCCCAGATGTCACCTGCAGCCAGGGAAATGAACAGTTTGGCACTTGCTCTGAACAAGCTGTGGCAGGATGGCCAAGAGCAGAGGTGTTTCTGGCTGCACCCAGGGCCCCTCCAGCAGGCAGACACTGGCGTGAGGGCTGGCAGTGAGCAGCACCAGGCAGCCGTCTGTGTCGGTTTCCTCTCCCCCTGACTGTCAACGGTGTAAGGACACAAGGTTCTGACTGTTTTCTCAGTGCTCACTGCCTGTTTCAATAACCAACACAAGCAAATGTACGAGGCGCACTGAAATGAGGGTGGCTGTCTACAATCTCCTTTCGTACAGGGCTGTGACATTGCGCCTCACCCACAACACAAGTCTGTGGCTGAACAGTAAAAACGCAACGGAAAAGTAGAGTAGTCCAGGGGCTAGTAACCTGTCTGTCCTGTGAAGGGCCCGACAGTAAACATCCAGAACAGGCCGCCAGCCAGACTGCGCCACCGGTGCGTGGCCGTGGCCGAGACTGTCCCCCTCAGCGGTCAGGCCTTCATCCACTCTAACCAGGTTCTGAGACAGCGGAAATGCGGGGACAACAGGACCCACTGCCGGGAACTCTGTGCTGACTTGCTGTAGGGGGAAAGCCATGAAGCTCAGGACCTCAACTTTGGAAACAGCCCCGAGAGGAGCAGGGCCGCGGTTGGCGTGGGCACAGCCGAGCAGGACTCGCTCCCTTGCACCCTGACCGCAGCGCCCTCCCACGCAGGTCAGAGATGCTGGGGGCCATGCCAGCCCTCACCTCCTCTGCAGCCCGCAGCTGACCGGACCGGGGCTGCCAACCATTCCAGGGGCCGATGCAAGTCCTGCTGTACCGGGGGCCGCACGCAGCCGGTGATGCGTGGGCGGAGGAGCCCTCCCACTAGCGCCAGCCCTGGCCTGGGCAGGAGACGGGGAAAGGGAGCCGCAGAGCGGGCTGGCTGAGGCCTGGGTCACACGGCTGTCTAGCCGCTCACTGTCCTCACGTGATGAAGTCTCCTCTATTGTCAAAACCGAAGTCAAACCCTTGAAGGGTGAACACAGAAGTAGGAAAGCACGTCAACGCTTGTCCCTGATAGGAGCTGGGTCACTGCCACATGTGTGGTTGCGCGCACACAGAGCCTTGTATGGCGCACAGAACCCTAAGGGACAAGGAGCCCCAGCTTGTGACTGGCAAGCAAACTGGAAGCAGAAGAGCAATTTAGAGACTTAAACCACTCAGAGTGTAAGCCCCAAACCAGGTGTATGGACCTTTCAAGGAATCGTCCCCCATGTCAAGTCCAGCTAAGTACTCAAGTAAGAGGCCAGAGACCCAGCAAGAAGGCCACCCACTGCCTTGCCCTACTGGGTCCTGTGAGGAGGGACTACTACTAGCTCCAGGTAGAAAGCCAAGGGACCCTCCCCTCAGGAAAGCGCTGAGCACAACACTCAAATCTCCACATCTGCTCTGGCCTCTTGGACTCACTTCTAGGACCTGGTTAGACCCAGCAGAGCAAAGACTGATGATGGCCTGAATCCCAAACTGGTGAGGTCTTTACATGTAGCACACATTTATATGAACTCTGAAGGAAGTCACAGGAAAGCCACATCAGCGTGGCTCATCAGTGTGTCCCCAGTCAGTGCTCCCTGAGCATCTAGAACAGAAGCCCAGGCAAGAGGCTACATGACCAAGGCAACTGCGAGGCTGCCCACAGCTTTTATTAGGTAACAAAAGTGGCAGGAGCACTCACTCTGTGAGTCAGCACCACTCTCGGAGATGCTGTTGTAAGAACCACATCATCACGTCTCTGATGTTCTGCCTGAGGTGAAGTAAAAATTCAGAGAATGCATGAATGCGGTTTCTATGTATATTGGACCCAGGAGAGGATGACTATTTTATCATCCTAAGAATAAAAAGGCAGTGTACTCCAACAGTAGGAAATTGCAAATAAAAAGTTTAATTTCAGAAACTGAGTTCACCATTTATAAATACACTAAAAACATAGTTGATGCAAAGTCAGATTAATAGGTACAGTATTTTGACGAAACGACTCTTCAACAGGGTCGTAGGCAATGAGCGACTTGTTTCACCTGGCATAATCCGTTGGTATGAAATAAGCACACGAACCCTTTTCTAGATGTTGAAGCAACAACTCTGAAGGCATGTTATTGTTCAAAGAATCTGACAACCGACCATTCATTCCGATGTCCTCGGGATTCTAAAATACCCGTGATGGCTGAGTCTTCCCTATTACAAAAAGATCTAAACACCTAAGGCTATTCTCACAATTGTAATATAACCACCTTCTTCCCGGTTACCTTCTTCCCTGTTAATCAGCCACCTCTTCTACAAAGAACTGTATGCGTGATTTCATCAGATGGGGGGATCACTACACAAATGTCAAAAGAGCTTCCGAGAGCAGAGACACTAAGTCAGAGGCGTGGAGGTCTAACCGCCAGGACTGCTGTAAACGTGCCGTGCGGTGCGCTGGCCGGACAAGAGGCAGCAAGGGGCTCATTATAAACGGTCAGGACGTCTCCGAGTTAAGTGACAATGTGAAACCTGAACGCAAAGAGTGTGGGGAAGGTCTCCTTAGCGACTACCACGTAACTGACATTCCATGATGCATGTAAGTTTAGCTGTCTCTCTAAATGCCACATCTCCGTTGTAGTGACCAGCGATCTTCTAACATATTCTCTACACTCCAAACATACATTACAGCTGCAGTTAAAAACTGCTCAGTTAGGATGGCTTCAGCTCCACCTCCACTTTACAGATTTTATTGGACACCCACATTTTTTTCTTGCAATAAAAGCATTTTTCACTAAAATACAGTACCTGATTTGTGGTTTTTACATAATTGAATAAAAAAAGTACAGAATAAAATTGTTTACATCTTCTACATCATTCTAGTAAAACAAATTGCTACCCCAGCTTTTAAAAAACTTTACAGTTACGGATTAAAACCTAATCATCATATTTCATAATTGACGAGACAGGCTATTTCTAGTGGCTTCTTAAGAAATACATCATGTACCTGGCCTGAAGGACTAGGAGTAAGGCACATGTAGACATTACAGTGAGTCTGGAAGGGAAACTCAGCAGGGACCTGAGAGTGCCTGGCCTGATGTCCTCCCCGGCCCCAACTGCAGCAAGCCACCAGGCCGCGACAAGCAGCTGGCGCCTAATGAGCAACATCACCTTTAGCCTGGTGGCTCCCTTGTGACTTCAATACTGAAAGTATATTAAGGGAAGGTTCACTTTTAAAAAGACAAGTTTTTCAAAGTGTTCCATCATGAGCCTGGACTGGCCGAAGCTACCGTTCTCGGTGGGTGTGCTGAACAGCCTTTCTGAAGGGACGATACTTGGGGGACAGCCCAAAAACCTGACGGCCAAGGCCGACAGGCCCGGCCAGGCTGACCGCTTTAGGTTCCAGTAGGCGAGCGGGTCACAGCTGTGTTCTAGCACCTCCTCCTCCAGGTACGCGAGCACCATGGCCTCAGGCACCTTCGTCTTTTCCCTCGGGTCTTTCTTTTTTATCTTGGCCATGAGTGACCACAGGCTCTCGTCCCCACTGGAGTCTCTGGATGGAGAGCCTGGATCGCACCCATTGGAGACTGGTGTGTCCTCTGAGGTAGAATTCAGCATTTCTAGTTCCCTGATTAAGTCCTGCTTATACTGCTCCGCCTCCTCCTCGGAGAACAGGGAGGCTTTGTAACGAGGGTCCAACAGTGTAGCGAAGATGTACCTGGGGTCATGGAGGGCGGCGGACAGTCGGCTCACCATGGCTTCCTTCAGAGACTTCAGCATGGTGTCGATGCCCATCGTCTCCTCAAACAGCATCTCGACTTTCCTGTTCAGGATGTGGGTCATGGGGATGACCTGGCTGAGGGTGGACATGTGGCTGCTCATCTCCCGACTCGCGGCATCGAAGGGCTTCAGCGCGTGGCACACAGACTGCATGACCTCCCACTGGTCGCAACTGATCAACTCTCTGAAGTTACACTCGACGGACATCTCGTTAATTGCCCTCTTCTGTTCAATGAGCCGTTCCAGCATGTGAAGCGACGTGTTCCATTTGGATGGGACGTCCTGAATGAGATGGTGTGGTGGCAATTCGTACTCCTTCTGCAGCTCTGCCAGCTTCTCCCTTGCTTTGTGCGATCGAAGCACCCGCTCACATACCTTCCGAGCGATGCTCAGTAAATTCTGGACCATTCTCTGGCTTTTAATGGCCTCGTTGACAATGAGATTCACCGTGTGACTGAAGCACTGCACGCTGGAGTGCTCCCCTTCATTCAGCGTCTTTCCTATGCTGGGATTGTCGGTCACCGTAATGCCAACCTGAAGACCAGTGGATGTCACCCAGGCCTCCCACCAACATTCCAGCTGCTTCTGAATGCTGTTGCCGCTGTAGTCGCAGTCAATCTGTGACACGTCTAACAGGGCCGAACAGTGGTGGTCCTCACAGTGCGGCCGGACCGATGACTCGAAGGTGACCCAGTGAGCAGTGAGTGTCAGGTACTCGCGGGTCTGGTTACTCATCCATATCCCAGATGTGAAGTGGACCACGCCACTCTCCGCCTCCTTAAGGTGTGACATAATGATCTGTTTCACATTATCGTACATTCCTGGGATAGCTGTCCTGGAGAAGTAGGAAGGGGAGGGCAAAGAGTACTGAGGTTTCAAGTATTCGAGCAGCCTGTTAAAGCCAACATTGTCTACAAAAGAATATGGCTGAAGGTCAAGTGCAATCATTTCAGCTATGAGACTTGTTATCTTTTTGGCAACTGGATGAGAATCATAAAACTTCTCATCGGTGTCATCAAAGGAGGAAGCTCCTGACAGTTCTGCACTCAGGGGCACACGGACGCCTGGAGGAGAGGGCAGCGCGGTCTTGGGGACATCGGTCGTCAGCACGCTGCCGTGGAACCTCTGTAAATGCCTCAGAAGACAACTGGTGCCCAGGTTAGTTGGCTTCTTCCCTCTGCTTATTGTCCGGCCACAGTGCAAGCACACGACTTTAGTGGGGTCTGCAGAGCAGACAGAAAAATGATTCCACAGCTTGGAGGTCTTCTTGCTGTGAACGGGAACTAGAACTGGATTGCTTTTGGGGACCGCTGTTGGCAAGCCAGTCAATCTGGAGGAGGATCTTTCGGTGGAAGCCACGGTGTCATATGAAGAATTTCCGAAACTGTCCCCCAGTAAGCCCTTTTGGTTGCCAACAACTTCCGGGTGGCGTCTGTAGAGATGTCTCATCAAACAGCTGGTGCCCACGTCGCCCTTCTTCCCCCGACTGATAACACAACCACAGTGCCTGCACACTGCCTTCAGGCTGTCCATGGGGGCCAGTGAAAAGTGATGCCAAACCTCCGACTTCAGTCTCTTCATCACCTTTTTATTCTGTTGGAAAACAGCACCAGACTCGAACATGGGAAGGCTGGACCCATCGCCCTTCTGCTTCTCAGGCGAGGACACCAAGGAGGCCTCACCAACATCATCAGAGGATGACAGCACAGATGAGTCTTCCATCAGCCCATCCCCGGGGTTCACCTGTGTTGCCATGTCTTCAGCCAGCCGGTCAGGGGAAGAGGATGTCAAGGGGGACTCCTTTACCAGCTTCCCTGGCGATGAGGACACAGATCTTGGTTCTCCGTCGGGAGGCGGGAGAGAGGGCAGCAGGGCGGGTGTTGCGGGGTATGGGGGCGGCATGCCCGCGCCTCCGCTCTTCTCCTGTAGCACAATGGCACGGTGTGCCCGCCACATGTGCCGGATGAGGCAGCTGGTGCCCAGGTCCTTCCCGTTCTTCCCTCTGCTGAACTCATTCATGCAGTGAATACAAACAGCCTTGGAGCTGTCCAGAGGTGACAAGTAGAAGTGCTTCCAGACCGCAGACCACCTTCGGGACCCAGATGTACTCTTCGGAAGTGGGAGGCTCTTCTCTGGCCCATTCTCTGCAGTATCCTCATACTGGGGCATGGGGAGGGATGGAGGTGGCGCCACGTGGGCTTCTTCCCTGCTGTATTTCTCAGAGATGGACAAGTCGGAGGAGACCTCTTCAGAAGACACAACGGACACAGGTTCCTCTGTCACTTGATCGGGAGACGGGATCTTGGAGGCTGTTTTCTGCACAAGTTTGACGGGTGACAGTATGGTGCCCATTTCTCCAACGTGTGCAGGCTGTGACGGGAGCAGCAGGGCAGGGGAAGAGAGGGTGGCCAGGGTGGACACACTGCCGTCTTCCTGGATGAGCACCGTGGGGTGCGCCCTCCTCACGTGCCGCATGAGACAGCTCGTGCTCAGGTCCTTCTCGTTCTTGCCGCGGCTGAACTCTTTCATGCAGTACACACACACCGCCTTCGTACTGTCCCGCGGAGAGATGAAGAAGTGTTTCCAGGCTGGAGACTTCTTCCTGGAGCTCATGTTGCGGGTGGATAGGAGGCTCTGCGTCACAGCCTCCATGGCGACGTCGTACAGGGTGCTGCTGTACTGGGAGAAGAGAGCCCCATAGTCATCCTCGTGGTCAGTGGGGAAACCCTTCCCCGGCGGCCTGCAGCTGTAGCTCGCTTCTCTGATCTCTGCCTGTTCATCGCCACTGTCGGCTGCTTTCCTGTCCTCTTGTTCAATTTTAAAATCCATTCTTTCTGAATTGTGATTCGGCATTTGATCATCTTCCTCCTCTTCTACTTTAATATTTATTTTATCCGAAACAAAATCACCACCCCCTTTGGGATGGGTTTCTTGGTTATTCTCCATGACTGACCATAACTATTCTGGCTGTGGCATCGTGCTGATACCTGTGTTTAGTAAAAAAAAATACGAACACTCATCCGTGTCCCCAAATGTATGGTATCTTCAGTGTTTTCTAAGTAATTGCATCTTTCAGGATGTTTATGAAAACGGCTAATCATAAACCTTACTGAAAAATGGAGGCTGTAACTCGTAAGTGCACCGTCTCAGGGCGCAGGCCATCGCTTTCCAAGAGCTCTGTGAAGCCCTTTGTGGTGCCGACATAAACTCACACCGCGCAGACGCTCTCGTTGTCCTGGAAGCGGGGTTGTTGCCATTTTGATGGTCCTTCTGCATTACCTACAAAAGATGAAATCAAGTCAAGCACTTAACTGAGTTACACTTTTCAAACCTGTAGTCCCAGGGATATATCAGCCTCAAGATGCATAAAATACAATTCTGTAATGGTAAATTAAATTTAAAAACTTGTTCCTTGACCTTTGTACACTCTAGTTATAGAAAGAACATACACTAACACTGCAAAGTAAGAAAGACATGAACGTAAACTTAAATGACCTTTTGATAATGCATTGGGAGAACAGGGAAAAAACCCTTCAGCAGTATATAGAGGTCAGTTTGGTCCAGAATGGACACCCTCACCTACCAAAGAGTGTCCTAGAGGCACCCCGCAGTGCTATGATCAGCAAAGCTGAAGTCCGTGAAACCAATTTCATTCTAGTTTGGTATAAAAACTGACACACAAACTAGGAATAAAAAGCCTGCAGCTACCCTCTGCAATAACCAATTCACACACTAAACACTGAACATAATAGAGTAAATGAGGTCCTTGCATCCAAAAATGGAGGAGAGTCCCGCCAGAGTCGAATGGCGTCAAACCTGCAGGGAACACCCATTCTCAAGAACTATGACCCCTAGCACAACGAGCACTAGGAACTAGGACACATGATCTTCAGAAGGCACTTGGGAGCAAACAAAACATGCAGGACAGGAACAGGCACGGGCAGCACCGCCACCGGGCTGACATGTAAAGCATGAGGAGGAGGAGAGGCAAGAGTACGGCAGTTACTGAAAAGGTACAAAAAAGCAACGAAAACCTGTTCTTGGAAATTTGGAAGCACAAGTACCAGGGAGAGCATGCTTACTGTAATGAAACTAGATTCCATATAACTTAGTCCAAATAACTTCCATATTTTTTTTTAAGAAAAAAAAATCTTCTTTTTTTAACACCAATAGGTGGTTCAATATAAATACAACCAGAACCGAAAGACCCAAAACTACACAGAAGCCAAAACCAGAATGCCAAGTGGTGGAGACAAAAAAACATTTGTGACCCTCTGGCTCAGCAGACTCCAAATAAAATCCAATGCAGAGGAGAAATAAAGAAAACAGGAAGGAAAAGCTCGTGCTCGCCTGTGGAAGGAGAGAATGGCGGTGGAAGGCCGCGGCGGGGAGGGCAGGCCTCGGGCCGGGAGCGGGGAGCTCTGCCCCGAGCTGCCCCAGGTGAATGGGGGTGCAGCCCGGCTGGGAGGCAGAGCCAGGATGAGGGAGGGCCACGCTCCCGGAGGCAGGTGGTGGCGGCCGGGGCAACTGGGCGAGGCTCTGACGCTGGCTCCAGGCTTAGTCCTAGTGGCTTCCCCACCCCCAGCAGGCGGCATGAAGCTGGCCCCAGACTGGCTTGGTGCTTCCAACAGCCATGCGGACACCACGCCCTTGCCTGCGCAGCCTAGATGGGGCCCCTGAAAGGCACCAGATGCCCAGGGGTGAACGGGTGGTGCCAGAAGCAGTGCCAGCCGGCAGGGCCTGTGCCTAAGACCGTCTGAGGAGCACCGGGCTGCCCGGCCGCGTTTACTGCAGGGCAGCCTGAGCCCTGCACAGGAAGCAGCAGCTACGCCCCGGCCGCTGCGGCCCAGCGGGCTGAGCCCGGCCTGTGAACCCAGGGCCGCCGGTTGGATCCCGTCAGGGTGCAGGCCTGCGCTGAGGGGCAGGCGAGACGCAACCACACATGGACGTTTCTCTTCCTCTCCTTCCCCTCTAAAAATAGAATAAATAAAATCTTAAAAAGAAAGAAAAAAAGAGTCTAGCTTGTCCGAAATATTGATAATGGCTGTTTATAGAAACATGACACAAATATGAGTGCACGTATGTTTGTTTATCAAATTGTATAATATGTCAATTATACTTAATATGAAACAATACAATGTTTTTTATGTATGTAGCTATGAGGCCTGTCCAGAAAGTATCCAGCCATGCGCTATGAAAAATCAAGGCATTTATTAAACATACAAGATACATTGTACATAGGACAATGACGCTTCAGTCCCTTTCAAAGAAGGCACATTGAGACCTCACACAATTCTCCCAATTGCCGTCAACTGCCCTGTTGTATTTTCCTGAATATCACCGATGGTCTTAAATCTCTTCCCTTTCACCTTGATTTTAGTTTGGGTTAAGCCAGAAGTCACAGGGCACCAAATCTGGGCTGTAGGAGGGCTGAGTCCCCTGGGTGATCTGATGTTTCACAAAAAAACTCTGCATGAGACGTGACGTATGAGCAGGCACATTGTTGAGATGAAGCTGCCAGTCACCGGTTGCCCAGAGCCGCGGCCTCCTGAATCACCCGAATATTTACATGGAGGAATGTTCAAGCTTACTGCAAAATGTGATGCTGATTCATTGCTCTACTTGCTCAGTCATTTTGAATGTGACAGCCACATAGTACATGTGCCCACTCAACGGCCTCTACCGACCCCACTGACTAGTACAGGCGTCACTGTGCACGCATGCGCGTTCCAGTCCCCTCTCCTTGGCTGTCAGGTTGTCCATGTTGCGCAAACTGTTCCCATTACATCAACAATGGACTTTTTCTGGTCAGCTGGTCTCTTTCGTCTCACCCCCCCCCCCCCGGCCGCCCCCAATTCCTGCTAATATTTGGTCTTTGACCCCGGTTCCTGACACGGAGCTCCTGAGTGACAGGAGGATCTCTTGTTCTAATGAGGCAACTCTGGGTGGCTACTAAATGGGGACTCAGTACTAGGAAGACCAAGCTGTGGTTAGGAGCTTGGACCCACAGCCCTGTGCCCTCCCGCCTCCTCTGGAGAGCGACAGGCTTGAAATTGAGTCAGTAAGCGATCATGCCTATGTGATGAAGCCTCCGTAAAAATCCGAAAAAATACAGGGTTTGGGGAACTTCTAGTTTGGTAAACACAATAAACAACAGAAAAGGGTTAAGGCCAAATCCCACAAAGAAATGAGAGAAAAAAATAATGAAGAACAGAAAAACCATCACCTCAAATGAAATAAAAACTACTAAAAGTTACTTCAAAAGAAGCTAATGATATTAAAAAGCAATACAAAAGAACAACATAAATCAGGATAGAAAACCACTAAAATGAGGTTCTGGGTCCTTGAAAAATACTAAAAATAAAGTAAAATATCACTTCAAGAATAAAAAACATAAGAATAAATAAATGCCACAGATGGTTGCTTAAGATAAACAGATGGGAGGGAGAAAGGGCGGAAGAGAAACATCGATGCAGGAGACAGACACTGACGGCTGAGGCCCTCCTTATACTCCCCGAGCCGGGACCGAACCCACAGCCCAGCCACGGGTCCTGACCAGGACTCGGACCGGCAACCTTTGGCTCTGGAGGATGAGGCTCAACCAAGTAAGCCACACTGGCTGGGGCAGAGAATTTTTTTAATGAAATAGAAATGACTGTATCGACTCAAGAGAAAATGACCAATTTAAAAGGCAGGTAAAGAAGATCCACATAGGTACAGTCAGAGCACCCCTCACCAAAAGGAAGGGCAGAGCAAGAGGCAGATACTGAAAACTTACAAACCTTTCCTGAAGGAAAAACTAGACAGAGTACACCATGTAGCTGAAAAAACCCATCCCTAATAATTAACACTGAGATATAGTGTAGTAAAATTACTGGACCTGAAGAAAAAGAAATGCCATGCAGGCAAAAAACAGTCATTTATCAAGGGAAAGAATATAAAATTGTCATGAGTTTGACAGCAATGTTTTATGCTGGAAGACAACTAAGTAACATATCTAAGATATTCAAGGAAAGATAATGTGAGCCAAGGATTTTTATATCCGGTCAATTTGCCTTTCAAGTGTAAGGGACACAGAAAAACTATTATCAGTGTGCAAAAATGAGGAAAAATTTGCATGCGTCCTTCCTAAGAAATCTACTGGAGAACTTCAACCAAGAAGTCTAGAGAAACTGACATCACGACTGGACGTGCGCACTGTCTACGTGGCTGAACCGAGGCCGAGCGGCGGCCCAAAGGCAGCGGGGGCCGAAGGCAGTCGGCAACGGCTACGCGCGCTGCCAAGTAGAGGATGGGAGCACATGGGGAGTCTGATGCCGAAAATATTTTACCTGGTTTCTGAAGTGACAATGGTGGTGGCTGTACTGCCACTTATTCTGAGACTGCGTTGTGCGCAGCGAGGGCTACGGCCAGGAGCAGTGGCCGTCTACGCTCATTTCCTACGTCCTTGAGAACCAGGGTTCTCGGGGTGGAAAGGCGACGGAGTCATGAGAGTCAAAAGGTCAGATAAACATCCTGTAGTCAGTGACCGGATAGAAACCCTAGCTCTGTTCACTGCAAACGCCTAGAAACAAAGGCCAACTCAGCACCAAGGAGCAAACCTCACATCAAGGTCATGGTTTTAAAACATCGCTGCCCATTAAAAAAGGCTCCTTGGAGGCATGGCTTCTTCCCGGTCGGGCAGGAAGGTCGCAGGTGAGCGCGGGCCACGTGGGACCGCCGGAGAGCAAGGGGCAGCTGGAAGGCTGCGAGAGTTTTATCGGAGGTCCGGGAGCCAGCTGTCCAGGGGGGTCAAGGGAAGGGCCCCCACTGTCCAAAAATGGACAATTTGAACATAAAAAGGCCTAAAACCACATTAAAACTCATCCTATACATTTAAATCTATAGTTCATAACATCAAAATAAAATCAGTCGGTCACCTTTGGAGGACGATAGAAAAATGATTATTTTGAAAACCGATAAAGAAAAAGGATTAAGCATTGATCTTCAGTTTCCTACATGCACATTAGCACTAGATAACCCAACAGCAGGTAAAGGCACGCTTTTCTTACTAGAAGTGCAGGAGGTGCTGAGCCAGAGCAGAGCTCCGCCGTCTCACGACTCCCCACGGATGAATGCACAGAGCGCAGGCTGACCTGGCTGCCAGCATCGGAAAGAGATGCCACACGTTTGTGCGTCCTGATGGAACAACGCCACGCCGCCATGAAGGAGACTCACCAGAGGTCAAACCTGAATCTGATCACGTCTCAGAGCCAACCACAACACACAGGGAACCGAGGACACGGGAACACACTGCGCCCACCGGAGGACCGTGATCCGCAAAATCTAGACCGAGAAACGTGGGTCCGACCACGGGGCCCGGTCCACAAGGAACGCCCCAGGGGAGTGGGAGGGATGGGAGGCTGAAGTGTCATATAAACAGGCAATACCTTACTATTTAGAAGTGCACAGTTCAGTCATGAAACTATGGGGAAAAGTCAGAGAGTGACTGCCCTTAAAGGGAGGTCGGTTCCACAGGGAGGTCGCTTTTGTCAGGGAGGAGGGAAGGAGACATGATTGGGACAGGACACATGGGAACATTTTATTTCTTGACCCAAGTGATGGTTACAAAAGTGTCCGCCTTATAATAATTCAAGCTATATACGGATTCTATGCAGTTTCTGTATCTGTGCTGTCCTTCAAAATAAAGAAGCTTTAATAAAAACCCTCATGAAACTACATTAAGGAGGGTCTTAGGATGCCAGGGACGAATGGACCCACACACAGACCAGAGAGTCCAGGACTGGCCCAGAACACAATCAGGCGCGCACCGGAGTTTTCACGCCTGAGACGCTGCACGGCAGTGAGCACGGCAGGGACTGATCCCAGGACAATCAGACCTATGGGAAAAATGACACCTGTTGACCCCTAGCTCATGCTATTCCCCACATCAACTCTAGGTCAATGGTCCACTAAAAGCAAAACAATAAAGAATAGAGGAAAACATTCTTATAACCTTGACTTAATCCAAAAGAGAGCTAATCATTGAGGGAAGACGGATAAATCAGACCACATTAAATTAAAAAACTTGCCTTGCCCTGGCTGGTGTGGCTCAGTGGATTGAGTGCCAGCCTGTGAAACAAAGGGTCGCCAGTTCGATTCCCGCTCAGGGCACATACCTGGATTGCGGGCCAGGTCCTCAGTAGGGGGCATGCAAGAGGCAACCACCCATTGATGTTTCTTTCCCTCTCCTTCTCCCTCCATTCTTCTCTCTCTCTAAAAAAAACCCCAAAAAACAAAAAAAACTTGCCCTGACTGGTATGGCTCAGTTAATTGAGCCCTGTGATCTTTGTCCTGTGAACCAAAAGGTTGAGGGCTTGATTCCCAGTCAAGGTACGTGCTTAAGTTGCTGGTTCCCACCTGGTCGGGGCACATAGAACAGGCAACCAACTGACGTTTCTCTCTTACATCCATGTTTGCCTCCCTCTCTTTCTACCTCCCTTCCTCTCTCTATAAAATCAATAGGCGTTCTGATGTGAGGATTGGAAAAAAAAAAAAAAAAAAAAAAAAAAAAGGGTGGGGGTGAGGGCCCTGGCCAGGGGGCTCCGTGGGCTGGAGCATTCTGAACACCAAAAGGCCGTGGGGCCAGTTCCTGGTCAGAGCAACGACCTGGGTTGCGGGTTTGATCCCCAGGCGGGGCACCATTGGGAGGCAACTGATCAAGGTTTCTCTCTTACATCGATGCTTCTCTCTCTCTCTCTCTCTCTCTCAAATCAATAAAACCATATCCTAAGGTGAGAAAAAAAAGTGGGGCAAAGGAGAAAGGGATGTGGAAGGCTGGGGACCTGGAAATCAGGAAGGAGGCCAGGAATGAGTACACACTAGGGGCTCTCTGGGACTTTTTACGCTAAAGCACAACATAGAAACAATGGATTCGGATGGCTCACACCCTCCAGGCCTGAGGTTCAAGCAGTGCCTTCGAAATCCAAGAGCAATTAGAGGACAGACAGTGGCCGCCTCTGAACCCATGCGTTTTGCGCAGAGAGGTTCAGAAGGAAGCTGAAAGCAGGCCAGAGGGCGCGGCAGGCCTCCGCCTAACGGGGCGCTCCTCGCCCCGCGGGGGCCGTGGTTACTCATTCGCTTTGGTCCCCCCCAGGCAGTCATCACAAGGAGGAGGAAGTCAGACTGAAGGGGGAAGCTGGGCCAAGCACAAACACAGAGACGGCTCACACTGACCACGGTCGCTGCTCTTCATGTGTCCACAGCTCCATCTTCCTGCCTGGCCGCCCTCCAAAGCTGCGCAGGACAGGGACCTGAACACAGAAACACATACGGTCCTCCCTCCGTGTCCACAGGGCGTGGGTTCCAGGACCCACCTTGGATGACAAAATCGGCAGATGCGCAAGTCCCTCCTGTGAAGGGTGCAGCTCGGTTACCCGCGAGCAACGGGAGGTGAGGGCGCCCCCCCAGGCACCCATCACGTGCGACGCTCGATTCTCCCCAAACACACTGCTGACGGCCCTCTGTTGGCTCGACGCGCTACCAGCGATACAAACAAGCCACGGACACTTACCGTCTCTGTGTATTTACACGTTCTGCTCTCACAACAGAGAAAAGAAAACGGTAAGAAAATCACGAGGAAGAGAAAGTACCTTTACGGTCCTTACTGGGAAACACACCAGGAACAGGCGGACCCTCACACTTCACAGCCCTGGTGTTCAAGGGTCTGTATTCGCCCACGGCCCGCACACGCGCCCCCTGTGAACTCCGAGTCACCGCTCGAGTCCTCAAAATACCTGGCACGTGGAAACAGTTGTCGCACCGTAGCGCTGAGAGAGGCATGACAAGGAAAAAAGTCTGCACCTGTTCGGCACAGACACAACACGCAGCATCGCGGGCCTCGGCACAAAGGACGCAGCAGCAGGAACACGGACGTGTCCCCAGTGGTTCCGACCGGCCTGCAGGTATGGAACCCCCGGACACAGAGGCCCACATACCCCTTCAGGAAGCGAACGCCGCAGAGCAGCTGCTTGGCGCACACGGTGCGGCCAACAACCCTAGTCACTTCTTACAGGTCGCTCTCCGCGGTGTGGAGAATGTTCTCTGCGCAGCCTGAGGAGCTTACGGACCGCCCCCTCCAGTGTTCCCATCCAGGAATTAACCGGCACCAGCGAGCGGGTTTCATCGCTGTCAGGTGGACTCTCGGCCTCAGCCTGCTTTTCACGCAGCAGAGGAACTGTGCGCTCTGACACTTTTTGAAGACTCACAGAAAACCTCGAGCGTGTCCCGCAGCTTTTCCTGCGAAAACGTCAATCATGACAAGCAGGTAACAGCTAAGCAGGACCGAGGGCAGGGGCCGCAGGGTCCCGGGGGAAGCCCTGGAGCCTGCGAGCCAACGCCTGCAGGCAGCTTCCTCTCCGAGGCAGCTGTTCAGTAACTGAAATGAACTCCTGATTGAAACCCGGCTTATTCATCGCAGTAAGTGAAAGGAAACTAGGTCCTTCCTAGTCTCCTAACTGTGTCACCATGTGCTGGAGAAAACATCAAAAAAAGGGTACCATTTCTATACACAAAGTCACAAGGATGCCCTTGCTTTCTTAAGCAAACTGGCCTCAGTAAAGTCTGAAGTAGATCTTAAAAAACTATGCACTTTGAAGTGAGGTTCAGAACAGATTAGCTTCCCGCTGTTAACAAACGCAAGAACGCGGACAGAAGCTTCTTCTGAAGGCTCAACCTGGCGGGCACTTGTTTCCAGAGGTGCACGTGTCCACTGAAAGTCTCCCGAAGTGCGAAGTTTGCGCAGAGGGGCAGTGGACGCTGGCAATTCTCTTAAGCCATGGAGGCGGTGTGGGTCACAAAGGAGAAAAGAAGTACACAGATGACTAAGTTTATTGGGGCCTAGAAAAACAACTGCCATTGAAAAAACATTCGAAATTACGCGTAGCGATTTCATTCAAGTTCTTACCAATTAAATTTGAATGGTCATTTCCAGAAACACATACAATAACTGGAAAACATCAAAAGCAAGTACTAATACTGAACTCGTCTCATCCGCTTCCTAAGACATTTAAACAAGGCCCTTGGTTACCCTTCCTGGAAATGCCAGTGAAAATGAAATGTATGTACCGACAAGCCCTTAGAAAACATAATGCGTAAGGCGATTCGCTGCGGTGGCAGAAGACGAGCTGCCTCAAGAAAGACAGGAATAAGCACCTGTCTCCGGAGCCGCCGCAGCCGCCTGCCCAGGGGCCCCCACCCGACCGCCACTCTTCCCGGACGATCTCCGTTCCCCGGCCCCGCCCGGCCGGACCCTGCAAAAACGACACTCGCCTCGCGCGCGCAGACCCTCGCGTGGTCACCCTTCCCCACAGGAGCCCTTCCGTTCGCACGAGCCACCCCCGCCGTCCCCGCGGCGGCGGCGGAGGGGACCGCACCAACTTTTACCACTTTAGGTGTTTCGTCCGCAAAATCCTGCTGCCCGGAAAACGCGCCTCGGGGGCGACCATCCCGCCGGGCGGCTCTCCAGGGCCGCCGCTCGCCAGCTGTCAGCCTGGGCCGGGGCTGGGGCCAGGGGCAGGCCCGGCGCTGGAGGCATCGCGGCCCAGTGGGCGGCCCGGGCGGGGTTCAGGCCACGGGAGGCCGCGTCCGCCCGGCGGCCAATGCCAGCCCGCGGCCGGCGCAGACAGTATTGAGGCGGCGCGGTCCGGCCCGGCCCAGCCTCCGACCCCGGCTCGGTTGCCGACCCCGGCTCCGACCCCCGGTTCGGCCTCCGACCCCGCCACGACCTCGCGCACAGCCCGGCCCCGACGGCCGGGTCCTGGCGCGAGCTCGTGGCTGAAGCAGAGCCGGCTCCGGCCGCGCACTCACCGCGGGCGCCGGGCTCGGGCGGCGCGGCTCCCGCCCGGTACAGATTACGGACCGCGCAGGCGGACGCGCTTCTTCCATTCATTAGCCGCCGCGGCTTTGTCTGCCCCCGCGGCCCCTCCCGCCGCCTCCGACGCCCGCCACCCGCCAGCCCGCGACGCCGCCGGACGCTGCGCCCCTCCCAGGGCCCCGCGCGGCGCGAGGCGGGGCCGTGGGCGGAGCCGGGGTGCGCAGGCGCAATGACGAAGAGCCGGTCCGCCTCGCCGCGTCCCGCCTAGCTCCGCCCAGCTCCAGGAACCTGCGCGAGAGGCTCTCGGTGCGGCGGTGAAGCCGACGCGAGGACAGACTGCGCAGACGCAGACGGCGCCGCCCGCCCCGCCCCCGCGGTGGGCCGAACCTACTGCTCAGGTGCAGATTCACACTTAGGCCCGCCCCGTCCGGTAGGACAGACCACGCAGGCGCAGTGCTCAGAGATTCGTGTCCGCTTCCTTGTCGCAGCGGAATAACTACTCAGGTGCCGATTCTTGCGCTAGCCCCGCCCCGGCTCAACGGACCGCAGTGTTGTGTCCAAGCTTCGGCGTCCCAGCAGGAGGGTCCGGGGCCACGGCGGCTCAGCTGCGCGCTAGGCTTAGCCCGCAGGTGCGCGTGGGTGTGCCAGGCCCGGTCTGTTCGCAGGCCCGGCCCCAAATCCGCCGGAGCTCGGAGCACCGGAGCCGCGGGGACAGGGAGCCGCCTGCGTGCGGCCTGCTGCCCCGCGTGTCCCGGGCCGCGGGAGGCAGCGCCCGGAGGCCGGCTTACTTGGCGACGGCACCGAGTAAAACTGAACCCTGCGTGGGCCGTGGAGGGAGCGCGCGCTGCCGTGGCCCCGGCAGGGCGGCCCTCGGGTGGGGCTGGCTGCGGCTTCCGAGCCGCCAGCCCCTCGCGGGGGAGGCCCAGCGGCAGCGGGTTCTGGCGTGCGACGTACAGGTTCCTGATGCAGACTTGTGTGCGTGCCCGCTAACTTCTGCTGGCTCGATTCGGTCGAGCGGCCGGTCCTTGGGCACCTTGTTTAAGTGTCAACGTAACGATTAGGAAGTGGTGCACTCAGCAGTTGCTGGCCACTTTCGCCGGGTGAGTCCACGCGCCCGTCCTGCCCGGGGCCCTGCGTGGCTCTCAGGCCGCCCTCCCCCGGTCTCCACGACCCCCTGCTCCGTGGCAGAGCCCCTTGGCGCACCAGTTCGGGCTCCTTCCGTGCCTGCGCCAGGCACGCAGGCATTTAGGACCTTGTCCGCACCCTTGATTATTACTTGCTTCGATAAGCGTTTTGTTCTTTTTTGTTCTCCCCGAAGGCTCCCCCCTCGTGGGATGCTGCCGGGCGTAGGGCCGTGCTGGGTGTTTCTTGGGGAGCTCGGGGGGCAGCCAGGTGGAGTGCAGGGCAAACTGCCCGCCAGCAAAGATTGTTTTCTCATTTTTAGGTTTCGTGGGGGACGTCAAAACGATACTGTCTCGTGACCTGTGAAGACGGTATGAAGTTCAAGTGATCTGGGTGCCCGTTTCGCCACCAGCGCCTGGCCCGCAGAAACCGCACCGATGCCTACAGGCCGCGGCGGGAGCGGGCGGTGGGCAGGGAAGGCGGGTGGCCGGGCCGGCCTCCCAGGGGCCGCGGCTGCCGGGTGGAGTTAGGCGCTGACACCAGGTGAACCCGAACACGCCCCACTCTGGAATCCTCCCATCCGTGTACCAGTCCCCACCCTGATGTCTTCATCACGGCCCTCCCCAGGACCTCTCAAGGCTCCTGTGGGGGGTGAGGCCTGGAGTGGAGGCTTCAGTTTCCCCAGGACTAGCAAAGAGGAAGTGCCCTTCTGCTTCCTGTTTGAACAGTTTTCACTGTCACTTTGTGCTGTGAGAGGCAGAACTGCAGGCTCCCATTGTAGTTGTGCAGGTGTCCTGCTCTTCTTCTCTGGCGGCACCTGCCTGGAGTGGCCCTCTTTCGGGGGACACAGCTATGAGAGCCTTAACCAGGGTGGGGCTGGGCAGGGGAAGCCTCCCAGCAGCCTCGGGTGGACCCCACGGTGGCGTTGCACTTAACTTCCTCTGGAAGGTTTGCTACCCGGGCAAAGATCACTTTGAGAACAGATGTCTATCTTGCCCAGGTTTCAGATACACGCCGGTAGATTACAAAAAACGGTTGTCTGGGCGATCGTGGCTGCACAGTGCGGTTTTGCTGGTGCCTGGTGCTGCGCAGCACCAGCGGGCAGGCAGTTCTGGGGAAGGTGCCAGCTCTCTGTCCCAGGCAGTTCTCCGAGACGCGAGGCTGCTCTTGCACCTGTGCAGACCCTTCTAGTTATTTCCTCAGAATTCCTAGCAGTGCGATTTTTTAATTGAAAACTTTTTGGATGTAATCAACAGATTCACATGCAATTCCAAGGAACAGCAGAGAAGGCACTCATGTGTGCTCATTTCCCCAGCGGTAACTAACGTTTTATAAAACGGCAGGTCACAAACAGGACGTCGGCGCTGATGCACTCCACCCATCGTGTTCCGGTTTCCGGGTTTTACTTGAATTCCTGTGTGTGTGTGAAATTCTGTCCAATTTCGTTACCCAAGTTGGTTCCATCCACAGTCAAGATACCAAGGAGCCCCAACAGTGATGGCTCACGTGGCCCTTTTTTAACCATGCCTATCTCCTAGATTGTCCCCTGCCAGTAACTAATCCCGAGCAACCACTAATCTGTCCTGCATCCCTAAAATGTCATTTGAGTGCTCCGTAGGTGGAGTCGTGTAGTAGGTAAGCGTCGGGAGTAGCTGTTTGGCCCAGTGTAGCTCCCTGGGGATCCTTCCGAGGTGTTACATGCATCAACAGTGTGGGCCTTGTACTGGGCATAGTGTGGGTGAGCCTCTTTGGCTAACCACTCACCTACTGAAGAACATGTGGGCTGCTTCCAACTTTGGTTTATTACTAATAAAGACACTATGAACGTTTGCGTTTAGACTGTGGTGTGAAGAGCTGTGTTTATTTCTCTGGGACAAGTAAGTATCCAGAGCGCAACTACTGGGTCATGGAGTACTTGAGTGTTTAGGTTTCGAAGAAACTGCCAAGCTGGTTTTCAGAGCAGCTGCGCCACTTCCCATCTGCACTCACCGCGTGTGAGTGACCAGGTTTCTCCACGTTTCCACCAGCAGTTGTGGTCACAATATTTTATTTTTGTTACTATGATTGGTGTGGTAGCTTATTGTGCTTTTAGTTTGCGTTTCCCTAGTGGCTGATGATGTCAAACCTGTTTGCATACAACTGATGAGACAAGGCCCACCCACATTATGGAGAGCAATTTGTTCTACTCAAAGTCCACTGATTTTGTTGTAAATTGCACCCCAAAACACCCTCACAGACATGTCCAGAATAATGTTTGACCACATATCCGGGCACTGTGACCCAGCCAAGTTGACATGTAAAATGAACCATCACACCCTTCTTAACTACCTTTTTGATTTCTGTAGGGTCTGGAGTGATACCTCCTGTTTTGTTCTTTTTTTAAAAAGTATATTTTATTGATTATGCTATTACAGTTGTCCCAATTTGCCCCCCTGTGCCCCCCTTCGCCTGGTACTCCCTCTCCTCCAGCAGTCCTCTCAGTTCATGTCCATGGGTCATGCATGTAAATTCTTTGGCTTCTCCATTTCCTGTACTGTTCTTAACCTCCCCCTGTATTGTACCTACCAACTATGCTTCTTAATCCCAGCACCTTTTTCCCCATCCTCCCCTTCCCCCTCCCCGCTGATAACCCTCCAAATGATCTCCAGATCTATGACTCCATTCCTGTTCTGGTGGTTTGCTTAGTTTGTTTTTTTAGATTCAGTTGATAGTTGTGAATTTGTTGCCATTTTAATGTTCACAGTTTTGATATTTTTCTTAAATAAGTCCCTTTAACATTTCATGTAATAATGGCTTGGTGATGATGAACTCCTTTAGCTTTATCTTGTCTGGGAAATGCTTTATCTGCCCTTCCGGTTTAAGTAATACGCTTTGCTGGTAGAGTCATCTAGGTTGTAGGTCCTTGCTTTTCATCACTTCAAATACTTGCCAGCCCCTTCTTGCCTGCAAAATTTCTTTTGAGAAATCAGCTGACAGTCTTATGGGAACTCCTTTGTAGGTAACTGTGTGCTTTTCTCTTGCTGTTTTTAATATTCTCTATCTTTAACCTTTGGCCTTTTAATGTGTCTTGGTGTGGTCCTCTTTGGGTCCAACTTGCTTGGGACTCTGTGCTTCCTGGACACAATCGTATGTCTATTTCCTTGGCCAAATTAGGGAAGTTTTTCAATTTTTTTCACATAAGTTTTCCATTTCTTGCTCTTCCTCTTCTCCTTCGGGCATCCCCATGATTCAGATGTTGGGACGTTTGGAGATGTCCCAGAGGGTCCTTGTACTATCGTCTTGTTTTTAAAATTCTTCTTTCGTCTTGCTGTTCTGGGAGAATGCTTGCTTCTTCCTTATGTTCCAAGTCATTGATTTGAATCTTGGCATCATCCTCTCCATTGTTGGTTCCCTGTAGATTTTTCTTTATTTGACTTAATGTAACCTCCATTTCTTCCTGGGCCTTTTTTATGTTGTTGCAATACTTAGTGAGTTCTTTGAGCATCCTGATAACCAGTGTTTTGAACTCTGCATCTCTTAGGTTGGCTATCTCCGTTTCTTTCCGTTCTTTTTCAGGGATTTTGTTCTGTTCTTTCATTTGGGCCATATTTCTTTGTCGTTGCAATTTGGCAGCCTCCCTGTGTTTGTTTCCGTGTATCAGGTAAAGCTGCTTTGCCTCCCTTTCCTAGTCGCGCGGCCTAGTGTAGTAAAGGTACCTGTAAACTGTGGGGCGGAGCCTCGGGTAGTGGCCAGGGTGGGGCCACCCCCTTCACAGCTTTGTGGCTTGGTGTGTGGGGAGGGCTTGGAGAAACCTCTGCCTGGCCTCTGAAGGTCTGCCTGGCACTCACCCTCTCCCCGGTCACTTTACCTCCTCCCCGTGGGAGACTCGCGCCCTTCCAGCTGTTGCCCTGATGCTGAATCCCAGAGTGGGTGGGTTTGCAGACATTCTAAGTTTGCGTGGGCCCTTTAAATGGAGTCTCCTGAAAATCTGGTAATTTCTTCCACTGCCCCAACCCCCACTGGTTTTTA